TGCATCCAAGGAGCTTTCTGTGAAAGGTTGATTCAAGCACAAAAAAAACAACCAGTTGGTTGATAGTACGGGCCACACTCCATGCAATCAGGTCATGATGGCACAGTCAGGTCGCCCATTGCATCCAATGGATCCTGTTCTGAGCCAGATCATGATGACACAGTCAGGTCGCCCATTGCATCCACTGGATCCTGTTCTGAGCCAGATCATGATGACACAGTCAGGTCGCCCATTGCATCCACTGGATCCTGTTCTGAGCCAGATCATGATGACACAGTCAGGTCGCCCATTGCATCCACCGGATCCTGTTCTGAGCCAGGTCATGGTGACACAGTCAGGTCGCCCATTGCATCCACTGGATCCTGTTCTGAGCCAGCTCATGTCAGAACCATTCTGCCTGATTCCAGTATGCCCTGAATTTTTAAGCGCAAGTGAGTTGGTTTGGTTTTAAACCACTGCTTTCAGAAGTACAGTATATCAGTTATGTCACAGAATGTACTGTCATCTTGATGTGGGAGGAAAGCCTTAAATGATGGTGGTCTGATGCATCTGTGAAGCCTGTCATTGGTGTCAAAGGTCACCCACCCCCCAATGAGGCTATACAATATTGCCACAATATTGTCACATGCACTGTGCCCTGCAAGTAATAACACCTTCCCAACACATACTTTATTGAGTATTTTATTAGGTATTCCCTACAGAGATACAGCCTCAATAGGACAGATTACATGAAAACGGTCTTCCTCTGGAGAGGCTTCAGACAAGGTGCAAGAACTGTTTACAATTTTTGTCATACTTGGGACAATTGACCATCAAATAGATCGCAACTATAGGACCGTGCTTGTGGTAAATAGTTCCATTCAAAAATACAGAGAAACCCTGTCAATCAGAATTGTATCACTCCCACTGATTTTGTCCAGATGAACAAACAATTGGACTAATGAGCTTTCCCTGTAATCTATTTCAAAGTCACTGGTCTAAGGACGTGAAAACGTAAAACTACATTCAAATGACAAAGATGACTTAAACATTATCTGTTGCCATGCCAGTGAAAAAGAACCAACATTTGGATTGCAGTAACAAGTTAAAACAAAAAGGCACAACCAGACTGTGGCAATAAAAAGGAAACTTTTTTCACATATATAACTACAATAAAAATGATATAAAATGAAAAATGAGTCAAAAGTGCTATTCCTGAAAAATATTACATGGTTATTCAAAATATATTGGCTAAGAAACGAAAACTGTATTTCAAAAGATATTAGCAAATTAAGAAACTAACACAAATGTAGAGTCCACTTAGAGAATCTACTGTAAAGGCATCTTTTACCTGCGTTTGTCTACATCTTGTAAATTCACTTCTAACAAGAATAGCACCGATAAATAAAACAAGATGAAAGACAAGAGGAAGAGAATGTCCACATTAACAGTCAGTGCAACATTAGTCCACCAAAGTCCCACAAAGCAATATGCTGGATCAGTAATCAGCTTCTACACATACATTCAGAGTGAGTGAGTGAGTTTGGTTAAAGGACCATAAAGAAAAATCAGCATCACCCTGTCAGCTTAACGTACGAAGAAGGCCCAAAATAATGCAGGTCATACAAGTTTCTGAAAACCAAAACCATAAATATGGTGCTGACAGACAAAGGACTCTGATAAGAGTAACTCAGGATTTTGAAACCAACCACTTGATCCTGCAACATCTAGGGGACATAACTCTGGAAAGAGTGTCCAATTTTTTTTGACAAGGCTTTTAATTTAATAACATAATTTGTTTTGAGTATTTTTCAAATTTCGATACATGTACCTTATCCACATATAATATTAAAATTGACAGGTCATTCAGATACACATGAAAATGATAAACAAGGGAGCTTGCATTATGCTAGGCACATTAACACAGCAACTTGATCCAAAACATTAAATACTATATGACATAAAACTGACAAATTGTAGATTTAAAGTGCATCATGATTACAAACATCCCGGGCTGTGAAGTACAAAAAACAGCTAAATGTGCATAGCCAATGCGGTAATAGTCTAGCACCCTCAGACAAGCATAATATATTTATGCATACAACTGTCAGGGATATTTCAAAGATCGACTGAAGTCAGTTTCCCAAGGTAATCTCAGGGATCCCTTAATAACGTTAGCATTAGCTTCCTTCTGCAGCAAAAATACAGATTGACACATCAGTCTTGGTAACGCATGATGAATTTTTTATGAGGCATTTCATTTGAAAAAGTATTTTGATTTTTTTCAACTATCAACGACCAATCCTCGAATTATCCCTGCAACTGTGACACTCTCACCACCAACAGCATAAACAATCCAGCAAGCTATACTTGATACATGACTCAAGCAGGTGTATACGGACAATAGCTAATAAATATACTAGGTTATAACATCAGTCATAGCACAAGAAAAGACATAATCTGACTTCATGTGAAGTATCTAAGTTATCATTTCTCCATTAAGTACTTCACAGTTGTGTCGTTGCTAAGCAATGATATGTTGCATGAGATCACAGAAATAATCTACACAGATGGATGTGATAATCTCTACCAGCGCCATCGGAGAAACGTGATATGTAACTACTTTCCTTTTAAACTAAAAATAATTTTTAAAAACAAAAATGAAAATTATCTTCATTTGAAAACTACACTTTCATATCATTTCACAATATGAAAGAGACTCTTTATTGTGAAAGAAATGATTCTGATAAATGCCAAGTCTCAAGCCTGGCTGTGTTACTTACTAAAGAAACTCATAAAACGTTTCACAAAGCATACAGTGTGATAGTGCAGACTGGATTATTAAATCAAAACTACAATGAGCCTAAGCAATTTTCTACAACATTAGTTTTCACTTATTTTAATTGAGTTGCATAATTTGGACAATTAAGATGTTTCATATTATTGAATCACTTATCAAAAGACATAATTCACATGATCATCATTTTAAAAAAAAATATCATCCAATTTTCAGATATTTCAGTATTTGCAAAAATATTATTATAAGTTACTTTTTTGTTTATACATATCACATTAAGCATATTTCATCCAAAATATAGAGTACCTGAATAGACAACGGCACATTTTGCATACATGGCATACGGGATGGAACTGTGATGTGTTGAAAGACATTGAAGACTGCACCATGTGATGTCAGCTATAAAAGCCCAGTGTCTACAACATCACAACCTACGCATCACTACAAGAAAAACAAACTGCAGTGATCGGGATACGAGCAGACTAACAAGCACATCATGTACAAAGAACCCAAGGTTAGCACTGGTCTACCAGTGACACAGAATACCACCCATGATCTGGAGATCTGGCCCATTTCAGAAAGCGATCATACCTCTGCGACTACCATATTTCCATACTTTATCATGGACTTATAGTAGTTACAGCACTACAATCACTTTGTGAAATGGGTGCAGTGTTCAGCACAATCACAAACCCATATAGTGAGCTGGATTTTACTGTCGCTTTGAACAATACTCCAGCTATACCATGGCGTGTCAGCTTGATGGAGGGGGAAGCCCAAAGTGATGCAGGTCTGAGACGCTTACCACTTCGGTGAAACCACAAGCATGGGTTTGGTGCTGACAAACCTAGAAACACAATCTCAGCGAACCCGGGATTTGAACCTGTGATCGCAGGTATCTGGCATGAGTAAAGGGACGCAACTCTGCCTTGTGAATTTCTGAACTCTAGATGGATAAGCTCCTTTAACCCAGATAATGAAAATGACTGAAACCTGATTAATTAAAATCAAAGTCGTTGAAAATAATGCTGCTAAGGAACAAAAGAAGCTAGAAGTGTCCAACGATGGACGACACAAACAAGATTATGCTGACTCGTAGGACCAGTTTTAAATGTATATGTAAGTATATGTAGCAGAATGGTCCAGCATGGATTTAACATCTTAGGCTTAAAAAAATAAAAGAATTGGTTCTCAGGAAATTGTTTTTGAAAATATAGTGCGGGCGGTGTCTTTTTTGGGGGTTGTTTAAACTAGTATGTAAACATTAAACAGTTGTGTACAATCAACCTGGTAAATGGGCCTCCCTACAGAAATGTATTTTTTGATGAGTAAAATACTGGAATTCAGTATTTGACTACCGTTAGACTTGGAATATTTAAGGATTTTTTGGTGTGTTTTTTTTAAATGGAAATAAAAACAAAACCTGCAGGGAACTTTATGATGATGCAGGCGGTGCCTGAGAACCAAGACGATTATTTTTTTAGCCTTAAATAATGCAGACAGATGCATGAACAGTTTATATTCATCATAATTGCAACAATGACAACCAGCATCAAGGAAAATAGACAATGAAACAAAAATAGATATAAAATCTAACATCATACAGATCTAAAGTACACATGAAATATTATGATGGTGAACATTCTGTGCAATTATATAAGATGGCAGCACTACGTAATAAAATACCGAGAACCTACCGCAGCAGTTACACACACCCAAGGCTAAGTCTGTGCGCATGAACCATGTTCAATTAGAGGACATCAGTCAGTATTTATCCGCACAGTCCCAAGTGTCCACTGCAGTCAGGGTTCGACAAGTGTGATGTTTTCAACCTGGCAACAGGACCAGCCTCACAGAAAGGCAGGTGACTGGGCCCACAGAACATTTGATACATTGAAAAATATGTTCTTCAAAGTTATGTCCTGCTTTCTTTAAATAAACAAACTAAAGTAACAGAATATTCATATTTTCCAAATGTCATTTTGCCCATCTCGATTAAAAATTGGTCCTTTTATATTGTAATTGTGTCTATCCATTGGAACAGCATATTTGTCGAAACCCCTCACATGAACTTGATACACAAGAATACTTATCTATATAAAATCATTTTTCAAATTCGTAATAATTCTTCTGACACTGAGGCATGTTTTATCACAACAATAAATGTATCGATGCCTTTAAACGACATTTTGCAACTTCACAGTAGCAGTGGTATGAAAGTTACTAAATCGTTGAATGACAGTACAGATATTTCCTTGTAAGATATAAATAACCACAACGCTGAACTGCACACAATTGCACTGATAAAGACAGAACCACATTCTAAAGCAGAATCTACTAGAAATGGAACACGGCTGTCCTACTCAAACATATTGCTTCCTATTTCCGGTCAGTACAAGACCTGTTCTACTTTTACATGCATGGATTATCTAGGCCTGCTCAGAGGCTGATTTTCGGCCCCAAATCAGAACCAAATGTCAGTCAAAATTCCCAAACTGGAATTAAGTATTTGCCAAGTCATGTTATTTTTTGTAATAACTTATGTTATTGTTTTGCAGAGGTGTCTTGCATCCCACAGATAACAGGTCCGACAAACAGGAAGAGGCTTCATGTTTTAATTTTACAATATGCTTTGAAGGAAGTCTTTACGAACCCCTCAACAAATACCAGTAAGTAACAAAATAAGCTTTTTCCCCCAATTTGTCTGACAATGGCGCTTGGCTTGGAATCTGAGATAAACCCAAGACATGGCGACCTATATGTATGGTTCCAACACAACAACGTTGTCTGAATCAGGTACATTCCCATCCTACCACCAGACATCCGCCACATACTAGTGCTATATAGAAATGTCCTCAGGAAAATAGCATTCATTGATAAGTAGGCCACATAGAGAACCAGTGCAGCTTGGCTATCAACACTTGTAGAGGTGTGGAGTATTATTAACAGTAGCAGCGTAGCAGCACTTGACAGACTGTTCGAAGCATTGTGTTCGCCACAGAGTATTCACCTTAGGCATTTCCATTTAATTACTTGGTTTACAGATTTTTTGTCACGATTTTTATTGCAAATTATTTATTTAAATTTGACTTGGTAAGAATTAAAAAAATCATAATCTAAATTTAAATTTATTTCTAATTTCGAGTCAGATCCGTGAACCAAGTAATAAAAATGAAAATCACCTCAGCACTTTACTTCAAGGTGTTGCAAGTCACACGTCAGACTCCACCAGTGAAATCTTCTCAGTGTTATCCTCGGGACGCAGGTCAAACCTGAGGACACAAGAAAGTGCAGGGATGTAATTTGTAAAACTGTTATGTTCCGAACATGGACTCGTACCATCCTTCTGGTGTACTTGGGGCAGTGGGATAGCCTAGTGGTTATAGTGTTCGCTTGTCAGGCTGGGTTTCATTCCTCACATGGGTTTACTTTAAACTTGCCATATCACTGTCCAAGATATGTAATAGCATATGGATGCTATGGCTCATTGAAGAGATATATGAAAAATAAGAAATTACAGAGAAAATGAGAGAGAGAGGGAGAGAGAGAGACAGACAGACAGAGAGAGAGAGACACACACACAGAGAGAGAGAGAGACAGACAGACAGAGAGAGAGAGAGAGAGAGACAGACAGACAGAGAGAGAGAGACAGACAGATAAAGAGAGAGACAGAGAGAGAGAGAGACAGACAGACAGACAGAGAGAGAGAGAGTGAGAGGGAGAGAGAGGGAGAGAGAGAGAGACCCTCAAACCAGCTGAGGTCACACATATCCAGATTGGAGAGTCTACTAAAGGGAGGTAACTCACCACTCTGTAATTGCCTTTGAAGTGTCCAGGTTCTTAAGGTCAAGGTTGACGACACCCATGATCTTCTTGCTGCTGGAGAACACCCCAACCTCATTCTTCACACAGATCTCCAGCGACCGGCTGGGCAACTCGGAAGGACCTACTGGATATTCAAACCTGCAATAGAAAAACAGTACCCAGTGAAATAGTGAATGGTTCATAAAGCCCATGTCAGTAAAACCTACAGATTGAAGTGAACCATGGAATAATGATGGGCCAAGTATCAGATATAGAGGGCCGTATGATCCACATAAAATTACTCTGAAATGAAGTAACATGCCTTTTTATTTCTAGGCTGTAAAGTACTTGAAGAAGTACCACATATCATCTTTTTTATCATCTTTTGATAGTGCCAAACAATCTCCCTTTTTCAAAGAACTAAACCCAAGATACCAGGCAATCCAATGACCAGCTTCTTTGTGCTCAACATACGGCAACAGTGTGTGAAGTTGCTCATAATATCAACCACAGGTTGGTCTGGCCCAGACTTTAATATTTACATGCCACTGTCGTACAGCTGGAACATTGCTGACCAAACAAATCAAAGGAGAAAGAAATTAATAGCTGTAACAGTTTTCAAAGACTTCCAAACTCAAATATGTCAACACTTATCGAAAACAGTACAACTATCCCCAGCAAGCAAGTTTTTTCAAACAATACTGACATTAGGGATGAGAATGAGTATTTTCCTTTTCAGCTGAAACTTCTTTTCAATGGACCGTGGTCCATAAGTTGGAGGTGTTTATGGACGTTCAGGGCCGCTTGGCTCCCTGAAGCCACCAGATTTTAATAAATCTTGGGCTCAAAATTTGTGGATCTCACAAAATTCTCACCCCTGTGACATATTTGATCATGGAAGACACACAAGTGAGGTTCTCTACTTAACAGAGTGTTTTCTTGTGAACTCTGGTTGAACTGACAAGATGCAAAAGCCATCCAGCTGATATAATCATGATAATCCAAACATTAATTTCAAGTTTTTCTAAACAGTCACATATGGGCTATGTAACTGCTGTAAGCTTGCATATACTGAGCATATCACGGTATACTCACGTCTCATCAAATACAGGATTGAGGTTGTCCTTGATAACCTGCGTCTTTCTCCGCGAGGAGCTGGACTTCTCAGGCAGCAGGTACATACGTACATAGGGGTCTGACAGATGGTTGCTGTCCAGTGGCAGCAGGTTCCTGTCAACAAACAAGATCTACCTTAATATTGTGATCATTTTGTCAAACTTTTAGTTCAAATCTCCAATGTGTTTGGGTGTGCTTGAGATCCAGGCTCCTCAGTGTGTTAAATTTACATGTGCTTCAATCTGCTTGTGTGTGTTCAATAAAACCATTACACAGGGGGACATTTGAGGAAAGACAAGAGTGTGGTCTACTTACACACATTTGTGCACGACAATGATAAGAGTTTGTCTTTGGGCGCTGTGATCGTTTTGTCAAACTTTTAGTTCAAATCTCCAATGTGTTTGGGTGTGCTTGAGATCTGGTTTCATCAGTGTGTTAAATTTACATGTGCTTCAATCTGCTTGTGTGTGTTTAATAAAACCATTACACAGGGGGACATTTGAGGAAAGACAAGAGTGTGGTCTACTTACACACATTTGTGCACGACAATGATAAGAGTTTGTCTTTGGGCGCTGTATCGGAACGTCATCTGAATACGTCCATTTCCAAACTCCCCCTTCGTGTCCACAACTCTGCAAAGATACAACATCCACCTTACAAGCAGGGAAATAGAAAGCAAATAAAAAGGTTTTAAAAAAGGTGATCACCCTTGTGTAAGTCATTTTCAAACATACCATGTAAAACATGAATGTTAACATTGATCAAAAACTTTGAATGTCCAATACAAAAATGTGGTATATTATATTCTATTATGATGCGATGTTTCGGTATAGATCCTTATACCATTGCAAAGCAATATCATTACTCGTAGTAAAATCCAGCTATTTGATTGGCCAGACTCCATCTGTAAAAACCCACACACATCGGTTGGCTGGCCTGTGCAGACATCATGATGCCATAGTGTTTCAAATGACATCATCTGCTTCTCATGTCAGACTTGACCCTGTTTACAATTAGAGTCACCATACCGAAAATAAGTCTCTGTACTTGTGAAGACGCAGTGTAAATATGTTACATGTGTTCTTTGTAGGGTGTTGTTGGGATTTTATGAGCTGAACATTCATTTACATCCTTCAACCTACTGTCTCGTGGTGTACAAGCCCATTCAGCTTGTAACATCCTGTACACACATCACTGACACAGGTAACTCATTATCCAAAATATGTTTCTAATGAGATTTGTTTGTTTGTTTGTTCATTTAACGCCGCACTAAGCAATGTTCCAGCTATGTGACGGCGGGCTGTGAATAATCGAGTCTGGACCAGACAATCCAGTGATTGACATGACGAGCATCGATCCACGCAAATGGGATACAATGACATGGATCAACCAAGTAAGCGAGCCTGACCACCCGATCCCTATAGTCGCCTCTTAAGACACGCATACCGGGTAGTTGCCTTTCACTGCAAGCATGGGCCACTGAAGACCTATTCTACCGCGGATCTTCTCATGAGAAACATGGCTGACACAACATTCTTTTGTTCCTGATAACACAACACTACACTTCAATTCCAATAGCAGTTGTAACAGGATAGTTACTGCATGCCTTGATCTCATGAACTCACTTCTGTTGTGCAGGTGCTTTCCTCTGTCGGAGATTACTCTCAGCATCCACGGAGCTGGAGGCGGGTGGAATAACTTCATCCACTGCAGGAGCAGGCTGAGAGGGTTGAGATGGCTTGTCCACAGATGTCCCCTCAGGCTTCTTCCCCGCAGGTGCCCCGCCTGCATCCCCTGCCCCCTCCTTCCCTTCTCCCTCCTTCTTGGGGGGTGGCTCGGTGATAAGGGGCTCACATTCATCCAGCCAGTCAGGGTTTGAGTTGGGGGTCAGCACCTGCAACATAAACATGATTCTATAACTGCTTCTTTAATTCTAAAGAAAGTAAATCACTTACAGGGAAGTCCGACTCCACAAAGCCTTAAAACCAAATTATTTCATGAAGAAGAGCTAATTGATTACTTCTTTAGTCATAAGCTCATTAATTAACAGTTAGTCATTATCTTACCCTTATTGTGAGCATATTGTATGTATATGACAGAGTATATGACAGTGTGTATGGCAGTGCGTATGGCAGTGTGTATGGCAGTGTATATGACAGTGTATATGGCAGTGTGTATGGCAGTGTGTATGACAGTGTGTATGACAGTGTGTATGGCAGTGTGTATGGCAGTGTATATGACAGTGTGTATGGCAGTGTATATGACAGTGTATATGGCAGTGTGTATGGCAGTGTGTATGACAGTGTGTATGGCAGTGTGTATGGCAGTGTATATGACAGTGTATATGGCAGTTTGTATGGCAGGGTACATGGCAGTGTACATGGCAGTGTATATGGCAGTGTGTATGGCAATGTATATGGCAATGTATATGGCAGTGTACATGGCAGTGTATATGGCAATGTATATGGCAGTGTGTATGGCAATGTATATGGCAGTGTATATGGCAGTGTACATGGCAGTGTATATATAGCAGTGTGTATGGCAGTGTGTATGGCAGTGCATATGGCAATGTTTATGGCAGTGTGTATGGCAGTGTGTATGGCAGTGTACATGGCAATATAAATGGCAGTGTATATGGCAATGTATATGGCAGTGTACATGGCAGTGTATATGGCAGTGTATATGACAGTGTATACAACAGTGTATATGACAGTGTACATGGCAGTGTATATGACAGTGTATATGGCAATGTATATGACAGTGTATACAACAGTGTATATGACAGTATACAACAGTGTATGTAACAGTGTATACAACAGTGTATAAAACAGTGTGTACAACAGTTTACAACACAGTGCATAATCTCACCCTGAGAGCCAGCCTCATGTTCAGAACTCCGGCAGGCCCGTTCTGTTTCAGGTCAAACTTCTGGTCCAGTACCATGTCTGAGGCTGAGAGCAGTTCCTTCAGCTTGATGGTGGCGGCACCGATCACCTTGTCATTCTTACTGTCCCGCACCTACAACCACGTGGGAGGCAACGATCATGGGGATGTTCATGTGAGGACTTTATCCCTTAGGTTCACCCACTACATCAATAAAGAAGCTGATATCCTTATGTATTAAGCAGTGTTCAATACTAAGGGGGCCAGGGGGTCCTTGAGGCATGGTGATTGAGTGATTGAGTGATTGAGTGAGTTAGGTTTAACTCCGCTTTTAGCAGTATTCCAGTTTTATCACAGCACGTCAGCTTCATGGGGAGGAAAGCCTGAAGTGATGCAGGTCATACGTTTACCACTATATGAAACCCACAAGCACGGTTATGGTGTTGACAAACCTAGAAACATAGTCGGGGTAAATGAGGATTCGAACCAAAAATCAAAGGTTTCTGTTGTGCCCAATGCACTCACTTATGCACAGTGAATTGTGGTGCCTTAGACAACTGGGTCACCTGTGTCCCCTTGAAACATAGTTTAAGTAAATTGCGTAGGAAAAATACAATTTTATTCAAATTGTTATTACTCAGATTTGCAGAACACTGATATAAAATATTTAAAAAAGCTACAGATCTAATCATCAGATGGCAGATAGCTCACCGCCACACCAGCAGAATATTTCACATAAACACTTGACATCTTCACCCTAGCCCACTTACCTCAGCAAAGGTACAAGATATCAAGACAAAGACCAAGAATTATCTCCATGCTCTCTCACCTCAACATCCAAGTTCTGGTAGTTGGGGTTGTGGATGAGGAAGCGGAAGTTCTCCTCCCAGCGGGGCTCATTAGTGTTAGCCCTGATCCCGCTCTTGTGCTTGCTCTGGCCCACATAGAGGTTCACTTGGGGAGACGGTTCAGACAGTGTCTTCTTCCCTCGCTGCAGAGTGATGAGATTATCAGAGTGAGGCTGACATATATCAAAGTGAGGCTAACACATTATGGAACTGATGGCCATTGACAGCAGTACACAGTGTACCTGGTGGCCATTGCCATTGAAATAAACATGGTACAAACATTAGTCAATTGCTGAAAATGGAATAGAAGTTGGTGCAATTTGGTTTAAAGTCACTTGTTAACTGTTACTTAATGACAAAAAGCAAATTAAAAGAAAAAGCCAATAACTACAAACTGAACGACCTCAAAGAATCAAAGCAAACATTTATGTGGTTTACCCCGCATGATAAAGAGTTACTGAACAGTTTTCTGTGCACACATTAAAGAATAAGTACATAAATCATGACTAACAGCTTGCACAAAGCAACAGAACAAACAAGCAGATACACCAGATATACGTACAAAAAAGAAATTGTGCATATCATTATTGGAAACACATTATAGGAGACTTGATACTTTCAGAATAAGGTTTTGTGGAAAATATTCATTTACACATTAACCAATTTTTCAAAGTTCCCAAACCACACAGTTATTGCCAATATGTTTAAAGATTCAACACCTAGCCATGGCAGGGGGGAGGAGGACCATCACCAAAGCAGACACAAGTCACCGTATATCGGATGATGGGGAAGAAGGAGGGTTTTGGTTTGTTGTATTACGCTGCACGCAGCAATATTCAAGCTATATGACGGTGGTCTGTAAATAATCGAGTCTGGACCAGACAAGCCAGTGATTGATATCATGAGCATCGATCCACACAATTGGGATCGATGACATGCTTCAACCAAGTCAGCGAGCCTGACCACCTGATCCCGTTAGTCACTTCTTACAACAAGCATAGTCGCCTTTTACGGCAAGCATGGGTAAGGGGGAGGAAAGGGAGTGCGTTCCTGTCCTGTTGCTGCAACAACCACATTCACATCCTGTCATGCTTACATCATAGGACCAAGTGTCACATCCTGTCATGCTTACATCATAGGACCAGCTGCCAACCCCTCCACATGACAATACTCCACCGGAGACCATCCTCAGTTATGTAGGGTATTATATTCTCTTATAACACATACCCAGGACCCATTCACTACCACAGCTGTTTTGAACCTTATTTGAATGGCATGATGCTAAAAATAGCAGTCCAATCAAACTACTGTCCTGAGCAAAAGAAATTCTGTGCTAGGTTAGAGATATGACCGATGTAGGTAGTGATGTCACTTGCAAATGTAGCTGTGGTGTTGAGTGGGTCCTGGGTATGTGTCCTAGGGGAATGGAGAGAAAATACACTGGATGATTGAGGATGCCCAGAGACCAGCTCACACTGCTGGACCCTCTCAGCAACTGCCAACAGGAGGACCCTACCAGTGTCCATGTTGTCAGTGGCTGAGATCTGATAAATGTGGCTTTACAGTGTCATGCTGTTTACACTAGGGCTGAAACGTTTCACCTAGATCACAATACCATACATATCACCAGATAGTTTGGTTGGAACATGAGAAGATTAACAAAGGCAACCTTTAATTAACGTGATTACTTTCTGATAAGTCAAGTGTCAGTGTTGGTTTAAGCTGGGAGTGTAGCTTCTACACAATACGGTATGGTATAGCTTCTATACAATGAGGGATGGTATAGCTTCTGTACAATGAGGGACGGTATAGCTTCTGTACAATGAGGGATGGTATAGCTTCTATACAATGAGGGATGGTATAGCTTCTGTACGAGGGATGGTATAGGTTCTATACAAGGAGGGATGGTATAGCTTCTATACAACAAGGGATGGTATAGCTTCTATACAACAAGGGATGGTATAGCTTATGTACAATGAAGGATGGTATAGCTTCTTACAACAAGGGATGGTATAGCCTCTGTATGAGGGATGGTATAGCTTCTATACAATGAGGGATGGTATAGCTTCTATACATCAAGGGATGGTATAGCTTCTGTACGAGGGATGGTATAGCTTCTATACATCAAGGGATGGTATAGCTTCTGTACGAGGGATGGTATAGCTTCTATACAATGAGGGATGGTATAGCTTCTATACAATGAGGGATGGTATAGCTTCTATACAATGAGGGATGGTATAGCTTCTATACAACGAGGGATGGTATAGCTTCTATACAACAAGGGATGGTATAGCTTCTGTACAATGAAGGATGGTATAGCTTCTTTACAACAAGGGATGGTATAGCCTCTGTATGAGGGATGGTATAGCTTCTATACATCAAGGGATGGTATAGCTTCTGTACGAGGGATGGTATAGCTTCTATACAATGAGGGATGGTATAGCTTCTATACAATGAGGGATGGTATAGCTTCTATACAATGAGAGATGGTATAGCTTCTTTACAACAAGGGATGGTATAGCCTCTGTATGAGGGATGGTATAGCTTCTATACAATGAGGGATGGTATAGCTTCTATACAACAAGGGATGGTATAGCTTCTATACAATGAGGGATGGTATAGCTTCTATACAATGAGGGATGGTATAGCTTCTATACAATGAGAGATGGTATAGCTTCTTTACAACAAGGGATGGTATAGCCTCTGTATGAGGGATGGTATAGCTTCTATACAATGAGGGATGGTATAGCTTCTATACAACAAGGGATGGTATAGCTTCTATACAATGAGGGATGGTATAGCTTCTATACAATGAGGGATGGTATAGCTTCTATACAATGAGGGATGGTATAGCTTCTATACAATGAGGGATGGTATAGCTTCTATACAATGAGGGATGGTATAGCTCGTGTACTCCCTGATTCGAAACAACTCTAATGCTGGGATACTTCAGCAGATTGAAAACTTTGGTCAGTGATATAAAGTCCAATAAGTATAAGTATATATTATGATATTTCAGTTTGCCAACTCCTTAACCAATGAGAAGCTAGTATCTTAATGTGAGTTGAGATAAAGTGTATCCTGATTTGTGCTGCTCAACATGACAGTATGACATTGTGGTGAACAGTTGCAGCCCTAGGAAGCCCAGCCTCCAGTCCACAGTCAGGGAGTTCTCACTCACACTGCCAGGTCTGCCAAGGAAAACAACAGCATGTAGATCGTAAGCCTCACACCACAGCTCCCTATTGTGCCTTTAGGTCTCTGGCACAGCGAGGGATAGCCCCAACACACACACAGTGATGGGTCGCCCTGACACACACAGCGAGGAATACCCCTACACACACACAGCTAGGGATAGTCCCAACACACACACAGCGAGGGATAGCCCCAACACACACACAGCGAGGGATAGCCCCAACACACACAACGAGGGATAGCCCCAACACACACACAGTGATGGGTAGCCCTGACACACACAGCAAGGAATACCCCAACACACACACAGCTAGGGATAGTCCCAACACACACACAGCGAGGGATAGCCCCAACACACACACAGCGAGGGATAGCCCCAACACACAAACAGCGAGGGATAGCCCCAACACACACACAGCGAGGGATAGCCCCAACACACACACAGCGAGGGATAGCCCCAACACACACAGCGAGGGATAGCCCCAACACACACACAGCGAGGGATAGCCCCAACACACACACAGCGAGGGATAGCCCCAACACACACACAGCGAGGGATAGCCCCAACACACACACAGCGAGGGATAGCCCCAACACACACACAGCGAGGGATAGCCCCAATACACACACACAAATTGTTGTTTTCCCACAGACCTGCCAGATCACCACCCATGTCCACCTCAAGACCTCACAGTCCACTCACTAACTTATTCCACACTTTCGAATTTTCTGGAGTATAAACTACAGCCTGAAATCAAAGATAAAAGTGCTTTGTTCAACATGTGGCACACAACGCTAACATCAGGTGTGTAACGATACAGTGAATTGGCAATATGATACAAACTGTGATGCTTCTTCTATAGTAGATTGTGATGTAGAGAGTACCTTTCACAGAATATGCTTGACTGAAACCATGTTTCATTCGATGCATACTGTTTGATCTTATTATTTCTTCTTAAAATACTTTTCATAATAAATACAAACTACTGTTCTTGGTATAATTATGGTAACCCTTGAGCTATAAACATATGGGTCCAACCATAATAATATTACCTAGATCATAATCTAGAATTTAAAAAAATAATCTGTACCCCAAAATTGTAAAAAGAACATTTGTCCTCCTGTTTACAAACAAAATATTTTCCCTGGGCATGCTGGCTTTTCTGAAAATTCTGTGTTTTGGGTCCCAAATATTTACTGGAGTACAAACTTCTGAAACAAATAATCAAGTACCCCCTTAGAATATAGAATAGTCTGTCCCTAGGTTTTATGGTATCGCCATTCTCTTTGCAGTGATATAAGTACCGCATTGTGAGGCCATGTATTGATACAAAACAAACTGTAGGATAAAATAGATAACACAAGGATATATTATTCAGCATGAAAATATAAACTGAAAGTATTTACAACAGTTCTGAAATCATTGTTATTTATTGTTCATTGACAAAATTTGGTTTGGTTGGGTCTTTTATAACCTCTTTAATGATGAAACATCACAAGGTTCAGTTTCAGTTCATTGTAGCGTGTCACTGTGACTGTATTCGTAAGACATATCTTGCATAACAACAAAATGTAGGGATACATACAGGCCTACCTGCAAGTTAAGTATTGTATCAAGAAAGTTTCACCATCATTGTATCGTTACATTCCTTTTCTAACTCACACACAAGTGTTGGTTAAACATTTTACCACACACTGACAATAATCTTGCATATATACCTCCCCAGCTTCATTGTCAAATCAGCCTGAGAGCTCATTTTTGATTATCCAGTGAATAATATCTCCTTTCTGTTATGATAAATACCCCATACCCTCATTTGCCATTTTAGTTTGTCATAAGTCCCAAATGACACGATGCTCAACATAGGCATCCAATTAAATTACACCGTTCTATCATGATTGAGGGGCGGTCGGGTAGCCTCGTGGTTAAAGTGTTGGCTCGTCACGCTGAAGACCTGGGTTCGATTCCCGACATGGGTACAATATGTGAAGCCCATTTCTGGTGTCCCCCGCCGTGATATTGCTGGAATATTGCTAAAAGCGGCGTAAAACCATACTCACTCACTCACTCACTATCATGATTGAAGTTAGCATACCAGTCATCAATAATCAACATGACTTTTCAGTGACATCTCAAATACAGCCACAGCCTTGTTGCATAAGGACTTCCTCCCCCTCTTGCAATAGCTCAAATCAGCTTTACAATGCTTTCTGTTAGGTTAGGTAGGATTGTGATGAGTAGTTGGTTCAGTGAAACATCCCGTAACATCCCCATTCATTTGTTTTATAGTAAAGGAACCTACTACATATAGGGGAGACAACTGCTGTTGAGCATGGTAAAGCACATGAAGACCTGAGGTTCTACTACACCAAATCAGAATCAGTTGGGACAGTGCGGTTTTCGTAGGGAGTCTTAAGTGCAGATCGAGAGATATCTGTAGGCTGTGATTGGAGGATATTGTGTAAGATTTTTATGTCTTTTAAATGTACATCCATCCAGTTATTAAAACTGACCATGTTTTTCTATATTTAGTACTGTCTTTTTCAACATGATGACTTATGCTGAATGTGACCACAGCTATTTTCAAGTAGGTGACATTTGGTGCGAAAATGGGGGTGGTGTGTTGAGCTTCCTGTACTCGGAAAAGGAGCTGGCTAAGCTGGTCATTTCTTTTGTTTTTATTGCAGCTCTAAGGCCAAATTGTGCACACAGGTACAGGTAAAAGCTGTTGAATGCTTAGATAATTTTAAAAAAATATTACGTTACTCTAGAAGTCTATGGGAAAACATTTGGTTGTGTGTAACGCTGAGCAACCATGTGAGCTCATGGTGTAGGTCTAACATAATGCACAGTGCCTAACACTGATTTTAGCAGCATAATAACATAAACTCAGGCAAAGCTACTTATTCCTAAAATCGGTCAAAGAAACAAAAACAATATTACTGAAGTAATTTGTACTTGATACACTGAATATTTCTTCAACAAACACACATTCAGCAACACAAACATGTGGCAACTCTGACAAGAAAACTCAACTGCACGCTGATGCTAAAATCACAATCATCAATTTTCAATACATGAACAAATTTGAACTGACTTGTAATATGCATTCTCTGTAGTAAGTCTCCAGTGCGAAATAAAACAACGATTTCAAGTGGACAATCTGGTTCCTACTGGCAGTGTGTTTCTACGGTGACCATCCAGCTTAGGAATGCCACATAGCAATGGAACTAATGTGAATGTGCCAGTCCAACAACAAACTCACATTAGCACAAAAATATTTGCATGATCATTTCAACAACTGTTAAACACAGCAATACAACAAGTTCAGGTTAGTCAAGAACTGAACACAACATTTACCCAATACCCATCTCGCTTAGGGCTGCCCTGCAGACAAAGGTCAAGTTAGTGGGGTCAAGGTCATCTCAAAAAACAATATACAAACAAGGAATGATTTAATACGGTGACCATTCGACCACAAAAACATCGTCCATGCCGGGAAACATACCACACTAAATGTTATCAACTTTGTTACAGGATACAACATGGAGATGGTTGTTAGTTTGATATCTACCAACACACTGTATTAACATAAATAATTTGTGTTTTTTTTTCAAGGGATGATGTAAAAAGTGACTAAGCGGGGCTGCAACAATTTATTAAAGTATCACTGCTTTACAATATTGTGTGCCGCTATTTGGGCAGCTTGATGTCAAATATCCCTACAAAATACTAGTAGGACATTCTATCAGGCATTTGAATTGTAAACTTGTATCATTTAGCGAGAAATCTCAAAGCACGATTGGTTTACATGACTAAGTCAACGAAAAAATATTGTTTGGACATCTGTGGTCATTTCTTTAAATGAAAGTTTGTGAAAAGTGTTGAGTTTTTATGTTTCATATTGTGTGTTGTATCAGGACCTAACTATCAAGATTAATATATCGTAAAAAGAGAGGATCGTTGCTGAAACAAATTGGGATACAGTGTATCATTACATCCTTTAAAAATAGCAGAAAAGAAAGAAACGTGAGAGCGACAGAAAGTCATCTGTACTGCTCAAAAGAAGTAAGGGATACCCAATTCTTTCACATTACCATAGTTAATCTGTTTTGAAGAATTGGGATGGCCTAAACTTCTTTTGAGCAGTATACAAGTTAGCAACAGCAGGAATGTGTGACTGTATTCTACTATTAATATTATTGCAATGTGTTATACCCAAGCACTGTATGTCTAGTTATATTGGGCCTAGCAATGCATCAGTAGTCTTACCAATAAACGATCAGGCCTCAAAAATTCAGGCCTGGATTCAGACACTTTCTATCAAGGGTGAACAAAAGTTACAGTTAGATAAAAGAAGTGTTCTCAGTGATAAATACTTCCGAGAGGATTAGTTCAAAGGTCAGGCAAAGCACATTTGGCTACATGACCTAGGTTATATTGCTGACAATGTAAGTTACATGCTTCAACAGGCATTACACTGTAGAATTGTGGTATAACTATTAGGAACCAATCTCATTAAAATCAGATCCTACTTCTCGCTTTGGCTAAACAAAGATCTGGGGACAACCCATTACAGGTCACGTCAGAACGACCTTTCATCCAACCAATCAGAGCGTCGCTTACCAGATCATGAAAGTGACAGACGGAATGTGTTTTCTGATCATGCAAACTTGAAATATTTAACAGAGGGTATTCTGAACGACAGTTACAGGTTTTATGATTTTATCCATACAATCTAGGCCATCTGTAAGCCATTCCAGAATGTTCTTTTTATCAGTTTTAAAAATCTTAACCGAGAATACGTCAAAATATGTTTCGAAGCGTAGTCGCCAGTTTGAAACTAGTGTCGTAAAGCTCAAGAAAGCTACCTTCTGATTGGCTAATATTGATTACTTGTCAGTCTTTTCATTGATCGGTCAATGTTCCCAAGAGGTCGTTCTGACGTGACCCGTAATTGGATGTCCTCAGGTCTTTGTTTAGCGGTAGCGTAAACTAAGATCTGATTTTAATGAGATTGATTAGGAACAGAAGCAACATTTACTGAGGGAATACTAGAATATGAGCAAGGTTGATGAGACTTACTGGAAGGTCCCGGGCGGAGTCGAGGTTGACCAGCAGGATGCAGGAGGACACGCTCTCATCATCCTTGTTCTCTTCCTGCACCTGTTGGACCATCTGGAGGCAGATACAAGATGGTGGTTTACACATTGTTGATGCTGCAACATCCTACTGAGTGATACCATAGTAACACAATGACACCAAGACAATGTTGCTGTAATCTGTTTCGAAACAATGTGGCTATTGCAATCATACTGAAAAAAAATGTTATCTTACACAATCGAAAAATATGTTGATATACAAAAACAGTTGCTGTACCTAGCATGTGGATACACTGTTCCTCAACCAAACAGACACAATGTTGCTGTTGACATATTACTAAACCACAACCATACTGGTCCAATGTGACATTTTTACAGATACACTGTTCCTAATTCCTGTGATACAAAGTGTTACTGCTATTCTTGCAGCCACACCTCACAAAAATCTCATTCTTTTCAGTTTTCCCTCCTAATACTACTTTAACATGCAAGAAAATCATGAATGTATTCAACAAGTGTGGTAACCAATACTTATATTACTGTGTTTACTCTTACACACTATTTGAAGACAGAATATTTCCATTTTTCAATGTCTGTACTTCATGTTTATTATTGTTATTGTTGTATATTTGAATTAAATCCAGCACTGTCAAATACAGTTTACTTAATTCTCAAGTGAAGTTTGTACCACACACTGAGTGACTGAATAGTCTGAGTAAAGCTGTGTGATAGCTGTGATTGATAGCATGAGCAACAATCCAGTCTGTCCAGGTACCTCATGACACTCAATCATTAGGTCACATGCTGTCTAATTTTGATCGGCTCTTTTGACATGCATGGCGTACAGGGGATCAATTCTGCACCAGAATCCCCACTGGGTCTTGTTTAAGTTTATTTGTTTGTTTGTTGTTTAACACCGCACTTAGTAATATTCAAGCTTTATGACGGTGGTCTGTAAATAATCGAGTCTGGACTAGACAATCCAGTGATTGATATCATGAGCATCGATCCACACAACTGGGATACGATGACATGCATTAAACAAGTCAGCGAGCCTGACCACCCGATCCCGTTAGTCGCCCCTTATGACAAGCATGGGTTGCTGAAGACCTATTCTACCCCGGATCTTCACGGGTCTCTTGTCCAAGTAACCAGCTGACTTCTCTGTGCCGAGACAGAGAAAAAGGGTCAGTGAAAGGGTCACTGGAAAGGACTTTATGGTAACCATGGTTACTGTGACAATTTCATGTTATATGGCAGAAACTAAACATAGCTGTCTGATGTTCATCTGAAGCTAACTAGATAACATGTTGGAAAGAACTACTCAAATCGGTCATTAAGACAAGTACCAGTGCTAATAATTGGGTTAGGTCACTCTGACTAAAAAGGATGCTATATCATTTTGTATAAACTATTCTCTAGTTAAACATGCTAAAAATATAACTATTATCATAATGAAACAGTTTGTATAGTTTATAATTAATTTCATACCTTCACTGACATTGTAAAGAGAAACATTGATGCCAAATCTTTCAGACAATTGAAGATAGAGAAAACAAAATATATTATTGGTATTTTATTCTGCATAAACATGTCCACAAACTAATTTCTTGGCCATGACACCAAAGCAAGTGAGATAATAGATCATTTCACAATGAGAATACCCATGTCACAGTTGCGGGAAGAACTGCCTCCACAATTGTACCCATGCTTTATGATAAATGGAAGATCTACAAATACCGAAATTGTCTGAATGCATTGTGTGTACCGGTACTCATTCAAGGAAAGTATGCGAGTGCATTGGGTACGAAAATGATGTGTAGTAAGAATGTGTAAACAAAATTCCAATGTCAATAAGCATGTAAACTTTACACAAGTACCAAAAATAATAACAAATTAATTTCTATTAAACCCATATAATCAAAAAAATGAAAATATTCAATATGATTTCTTCAATGAAGTCAAAAGAACGCTCAAAACAAGGTTCATCCAAACACTGTGAAACAGTAATGTGGGACTGTATTAAAACTTGGCATATGAGTCAGCCAACTCACAAAAATTGAAATCTGTTGACAGACATGAAAAGCAGTTTGTCTTTTTTCAATTTCTCCTACCATAAATAAGTAAAATGTTTAAAAGAACCACCTCATTTACTGTCCCAATTAATATAAATAAAAAATTAAAATATAATTAAAGCCTGTTGCAAATATATCTTTAAAACTTTAAAACACAACAAAATAAAGACAAATCATAAAAGGAATTAGAAAAATATACTTCAAATTGGAATTCTAATTAATTTTTCTCCCAACGGAAAAAGAATAAATGTTTGGCATAAACTATTAAATGACATAAATATAAATATAATGATATATACATTTTTCCAAAGTTTATCAACAATAACAGTCTATTGATCATGTTGATCATCTTCATCAAATTAATCAAATATTGTTCTTAAATATGCATACTCTGGTACTCAGGTACTCAGGTTATAATTAACATTACTTGTGTCAGATTTATTACTGTCATTGTGATGTCACACAAGTGCTGTGTTAGATTGTTATATATCACACAGGATGGTATGAAATGTGATATGTGCAATAATATACCACTTGCCACAGACTGTACTGACTGTCTTATGTCATACACTGTCTGTGCTATATGGCATATATCACGCAGGATGGTATGAAATGTGTGATCTGTCCAATAGTATATCACATGGCACATCTCATACATAGGTGGGATGGTACAATGGTGTGATATCTGCAGTGATACATTACATGGCAGTGAACTGTTTGTCTGATAACAGTGGGTGTTAGATCACACATATACAGTCAAATCCCGTTAATCCGACATTGTTGGTTGCTTAAAATTATGTCGGATTAACGAGTATGTCGGATAAACGGAAATAGGTAGTATCAACGTTTGACGTCAGTGATCGAAAATTGGACAACTACACGATAGATAACGATTCAAACAGGTCCTTCTGACGTGACCTTTAATGGGATGTCCTCAGCGGTAGCGAGAACTTGTAATTGACTTTAATGAGATTGAGGTAATCTTGGTATGTGATTAATCCTATTTTGTTCTTTTAAAGCAGAAATTGTTTATTGTGAAGGAAGTTTATCTCTGCAGCCATTGAAATATGCAGCTACTCGCAAACTCGTCTCGCATCAAAACACGAGGCTGTGTACTCGCGAGCAGATGACCACGGAGTACGCTGATCACTGTGTCGGATTAACAAGACTGATTAATGAGTGATATCAGCAATTCGTTGCAAATTGGGTGTGTTGGAGCCGGAGAGCGAGACTGTCGGATTAACGGGTCTAAATAGCACTGATTTGATCGGTTCCCATCATTTGTGTCGGATTAACAGGACGGATTAACGAGACTTGAGTGTAGGCAGGATGGTATGACATGTTATTGTGTGATCCATGCAATGATACACCAGACAGAATATACATATGATAGTGAGTTGTTGTCCTTAAATGTCACATACTGGGTAAAACTACTTATATGGTTTGACATGTCGCATTATATATGCAATAATATACCACATGCCACATGTGTACTGTCTGTTTTATGTCACACACTGTCTGTGTCGTATCCCACATGCAGGCAGGATCATATGACAGGTCATGTGAGATGTGTAATGATACACTACATGGCACTGTCTGTCTGATGTCATGCACTGTATTATTACCAACAAGGGCAAACATATCAGGGTTCATAAAAATCATGTGCCCTAGGGTCATATCACGTCATGAGACAACAGAGTATTGTTTCCGTCATCAGGACGGCTTTGTTGACATTCGAATCTTATCGTGACGTGAGGTCAGAATGACGTCACACTAGAAACGACAACATAGCTGAAGATTGTTGATGTCATTTGACGATTTGTGGTTTTCTAAGACAGTGGTGGTGATCAGTGCAAAATATTTTCTTAATTCGTCTCTATATATAGACATCTTCTTCGGTAATTAATCGAACATTATACTCATGTTCATGTCATACGATGTTTACGTCACTCGTGCCAAAATTCCGGTATTTAGACACTTGTGTCGTAAACATGGTATGACATGAACACTCATATACTATCCTCTATTTATGTCTCACATATACATGATACAGCCAGGATGTTGGGACATGTTATATCACACGTGCAGTAACACATCAAATTACACACAGGTGGAATAAAAAATGGAAATTAATAATTTCTTTTTAGTTTTCTCCTTTACAGGTCGGCTGCTATAAAAAAAACAAAAAGGGTTTAATGTGTGAGGAGAGCTGCAACACAGCTTGTTCTTTAAGCAATGCAAACCTGACGAGTCAAGCAGGAACACTGTTTGGACTTTAGAGAGTTATTGTCTGCACTATCAGTACAGTCACAAATACATATTTGTTTCAAAATTTATGACAACCTGAACATGATTTGTCCGGAGATACAGCCACATACCTCTCGCAAACCAAAATGTCTTGAATTTGTAGATTGTTCATGTTGCGGGAAATTAAGAGGACACTTATACAACTACCAACTGAAGTGCATTCTGCCTCCACCTGGGCCATTTCTTAAAAATTTCGATTCCTGTTTGAAAAACATGACTGTCAGAAGAGTGACAAACAGTGCTGATCAGCAAAGGGAATTGGAGTAACCTCCCTTCCCTCATTCAATAATGTATATGATAGTTCATTGTTTGCCTGTTTTGTCAGGGCGCTGGGAGTCTGAATAATGTTTATATCGATCGTAGCAAACACATAGAAATTCTTTACATTTATACACGAAAATCTTGTTTGTTTCTTAAGATTGATGCGAAATAATTAATAGTGGGTCCTTGTTTAGAAAATGCTTTTTGGGTGAAATATGCTATCAGTTTATCAGCAGGATAAAAAACACCAGACCAAATTGAGAAGTATTCTTTTCCATTTAAACAAAATTATTCAGCGGATCCGTAAAGCAATAGAAAAAGAAGTGTAGAAGGTTGTTGTATCACGTGTGTGTACAGGATATTATGATATTTTTCCTTGTGATACATGCAATGATACACAACATGATACAGTGGACTGTCAGCTCCAGACATTATCTGGATGGAGCAGAGTGGAGGGCTTCATTCCCCGCCAACAGTTGTTTATCTTGGACATCAAGGTGTGGTCAAACACAGGCTCATGGATAATAATGCTTTCATGCCGTAGGACTGGGTTAATATCAGTTTTATTCAATCTGTCCTAGAAAATAACATCAAGAATATAACACCTAAAATTAATGTTGGTTATTTCCATGTCACAAAGTTACAATTTGGTCAAAAATGCTTCCTCATGTCAGAGTAACTGACAGGCTTCAGACAAACACTTATCTCATGTCAGCTGAATAACTGATAATCAATGTTTAGTATCAGCAGTTATATGAGATATACAACCACAGGAAAATCAATATGATGCTTACAAGCACCTGCTCAACTGTGTGATTGAAGTGTATAGCTTTAAAGATCTTCCAAGCACATCCTACAAGCATGTCAGGTATATCTGTTGGGATGCGAGATGGCTGTCTGGCTATGGCCTGCTGCTGTATCTCTACTGAGTCATGACCGACCTAGATGTCAATCATCTGACTGAGCACAATGTCCTTGTGATCACACCTCACCATCTAGTGGCATCTGGTTTAACCTGTCATTTTGTGCCGTTTGTTTAATTTTGAAGTCAATGCTCGGCATGTAGCTAGTTTAAATGTCCTACTGGTGTCTACATTTCATTCAACTGTTTGTAGGTTATTTTACTGTTTGTAGATCACCACATGGCACAGATGTTTGCATCTTCTGGATCAGACACAGACCATTCTATGGTCTAACTGCCTCACTCTGTAACAGTTTGGTACGCATCATGATACACATTCTTGATCTCATTGGTTTAAACCTGTGACCACCATCCTTACATGTAAGTCGGTAAGAGAAAATCAATCGGGGACATCATATGACCCACGTAAAATTAACAATATTTTGTGCTTGTTTTCATGAATTGTTTAATTCTATGACTACATCTGGATCTAATTCCTACATTATTAACATAAATAACTACAAAATCCATGAAACTATGAGGCTACGTCGCTTTATCGCCATGAAACAAATATTGTCCACCTCATACTTTCAAGGATACCACAAAAAAATAAAAGCTGGTCAACATCTATCCACTACAGCTATTTTTTCAAATAATAAACTAAAAATAATCTGGGATAAACATGATAAAGGCTTTTTTAGCAAATTAACAATGATTCATGACATAAAAGACACAAGTGACTGCTTGATGTTAGCACGAGAAACAAGACAATTAGGTTTGCATGTAAATTACCAAGCAGTAATGATGTACAGTAGCAGCATTGTTGGAGTGACCATCAGGAATACAACTTGTACTAGCCCCCCAAAAGCAAAGAAAATTCTACTCGTCCTTAGGACACATTTAACATTAGGCAAACTGACTTGAGCGATCGAGCTAGTATCAAGTTTCACTTTGGAGTGCAATAACATAGTTCTACAATTTAAATCATAAGAAACTAACCACTTATAATATATATAGACATTTATCATGCATAAAGAAATAGATCTGATAAATCATTACACAAAATTGATAAAATTGAGAACAAATTCCCTGTTCTGGGAGAGTCATGGCCTTAATGCATGTTCAAAGTCAAGAAAATATTTGGATAGTAAGAATATCATGCACATGATGTAAGATCAACTGTTCTTTGTTATAGCAGCTACAGTAAGTACCCTGTCCACTCCAATAATGGCTGCATACAGTTAAAGCATTATAACAGTGCAATAAACTTGAAGTGAATGAGATGAAATCATGGGCAAGCAATCACACGTGATAACATAACTTACCACAAGACACAAGCAGAAGTGTTGTGTGACGCAGAGGAAACAAAAAACAAAATAAATATGTGCAGTACATAACACAGTACAGCAGGTACAAGTTCTGGGCAGTGCTCTACATAATACTCATCTATACTAAACTACAAATAAAACAGTAACAGGATTACATAATGGGGGCCACAACACTCTACTGGACACTCTACTCCCTCTCAACCCTACTTATGTGTGGAGTCCACCTTTCTTGTACTGTCTGAACCAGAAGGGGAGATAACTCTTGTCTGCACATACAAACCTTAACTTTGACTTTGTTATTTGTTTGTTTTTTTATACACCGCACTCAGCAATATTCCAGCTATATATTGACAGCCTGTAAACAATCACAGCTTGGACAGGCAAACCCGTGACAGATATAATGTCCCACTTAGTCGGAACACGATGACACACAATGAGCCAAGTTACCGCACCTCAACACTGACTCATATAGCTGCCTCTAGATGTTATGACCAGTGGAGGTTCCTGTGTACGTACTCCCTGGCATCCCAATGGGGGCTTTGAATCAATAGTACTTGCCTGAAAGTAAGTAGTTGTGTACACTATGTCGAGACCAGACTGAAACATTTACTGACTGCAAATCAGGGGTGTGGAAAATCAAAGCTCTGAAATCAGCGGACATACACTGCACTCAATAGTACTTGCTTAAAAGTAAGTAGTTGTGTACAATACGTTGAGTCCAGACTGAAACATTTACTGACTGCAAATCAGGGGTGTGGAAAATCAAAGCTCTGAAATCAGTGGACATACACTGAAGTTTTGATATTCCTTTCCTAAGAATTCATTACCGATACATCAAAATATCTCATCAAGTACGAAGAAATTCAATTAGAAAAAAGGAAATAGGAAAAGAAAACATTAAATAACTTCAATGCTCTTTCCACCTTACAGATAATTAGGGGATAAGTATTTTTTTCTGATAGCAATTGTTTCAGGAAGGATAAAATGCTCAGGATCTTTAGCCTGATGGGGAGGTCCCACTATGCAGACTACCTACACTCATGCACACAAGCTCCTGGTTTACCCTCTACTGCCAGTATGTACACACTGTGGATTCTCTGGGGAAATCTCACTAAAATCAGATCTTTTACTCCAATTTGATACTTATCGGTCAAGATCTAACAAGCCCACCATTGGGAATAGGAGGTCGTGTCAGGTGAACTGCACCTCATCATCATTGTGGATGCTTCTAAATTGTCAGTACAAGCGAAGGAAGCATTTTGAACAGCTTCTTTTGCTTTCTGTGTCTCCAAAATGAATGTAAGGAGGCAGTTCTGAATGGAGAATAGTAAAGGTCATGCTGTTCTCACATTGTATCTGAGCACCATGGATCGCGTTTACTATTGAGGGATCATTTGTGTTCCGTGTGGGCTTTCTTTTGCATAAAGGTTAAAATTTCTGATTTAAGATGGTAAAGAAAGGAAGCCAAATAGTTTTAGGAAGCTGACATCTAATGTGCTAGGAACCTATCAATCCTTCATTTTGATTAGGTGGTCCAAATTTGCTCAAGGTTCACCTGAACAGAAGATCTAGACGGAGAAAGGTAGCGAATCGGAGAAAGTAAGATCTCATTTTAACGAGACTGTAAGAGCTTGTAGCTTCAGCTTAAATACAGCTTGTGACAGTGTTGCATTTGTATCATTCCTGAAATCTCAATCAGTCTAGAAAGAAATCTCAATAATTAACTGCACAAAAACTTTGGGCGAAATGGTGTGAATTATTAAATGTTTCTTAAGCATATGATTAATTTCAATAATAGATAATCTTAAAGCAATCATATATATATTGTTATAAGCTGTAGCGGTGTTTGGTATTTCTGTTTTTGTAGGATGTAACAGTGTACAACAGTTATAACATAACACTGAACACTGACCCTGTCTAACTCCAGTGGGTCGTTGGCCAGAAACAGCCACTGCAGGCGGACATGGACAAACCCCGTCTTCACGTTCTCCAACTGCAACCACTGAAACAACATTATGTACCCTTTGTAAGTTCATTGTGAAAGACTGGCATGTACCCTTCGTAAGTTCATAGTGAAAGACTGGCATGTACCCTTCGTAAGTTCATAGTGAAAGACTGGCATGTACCCTTCGTAAGTTCATAGTGAAAGTTTGGCATGTACCCTTCGTTCGTTCATAGTGAAAGACTGGCATGTGCCCTTCGTAAGTTCATTGTGAAGGACTGGCATGTGCCCTTCGTAAGTTCATAGTGAAAGACTCATGTACCCTTTGTAAGTTTAGAGTGAAACAATGTCCTGTACCCGTCGTAAGTTCATAGTGAAAGACTGGCATGTGCCCTTCGTAAGTTCATAGTGAAAGACTCATGTACCCTTTGTAAGTTTAGAGTGAAAGACTGGCATGTACCCGTCGTAAGTTCATAGTGAAAGACTCATGTACCCTTTGTAAGTTCATTGTGAAAGACTGGCATGTGCCCTTCGTAAGTTCATAGTGAAAGACTCATGTACCCTTCGTAAGTTCATAGTGAAAGACTCATGTACCCTTTGTAAGTTCATAGTGAAAGACTGGCATGTACCCTTCGTAAGTTCATTGTGAAGGACTGGTATGTGCCCTTCGTAAGTTCATAGTGAAAGACTCATGTACCCTTTGTAAGTTTAGAGTGAAAGACTGGCATGTACCCTTTGTAAGTTCATTGTGAAAGACTGGCATGTACCCTTCGTAAGTTCATAGTGAAAGACTCATGTACCCTTTGTAAGGTCATTGTGAAAGACTGGCATGTACCCTTCGTAAGTTCATAGTGAAAGACTCATGTACCCTTTGTAAGTTTAGAGTGAAAGACTGGCATGTACCCTTCATAAGAGACTGGCATGTACCCTTCGTGAGTTCATTGTGAAAGACTGGCATGTGCCCTTCGGAAGTTCATAGTGAAAGACTCATGTACCTTTTGTAAGTTTAGAGTGAAAGATTGGCATGTACCCTTCATAAGTTCATTGTGAAAGACTGGCATGTACCCTTCGTACGTTCATTACGAAAGACTGGCATGTGACCTTCGTAAGTTCATAGTGAAAGACTCATGTACCCTTTGTAAGTTCATAGTGAAACAATGTCCTGTACCCGTCGTAAGTTCAGAGTGATGCACTGCCATGTCACCTAAAGCTAGAGTTGTGCCAATATAAGGATACCGTATCAATAAGAAAAACTTCAATTTAATTTAGCACTTTAGTGAAGAAAAGTATCATGAAATAATATCAACCCACTTAAATGTGAATTACTATAATCATGAGTTCATTGTAAAACAATATTTGCTCACTTCAACACCACGAGGGAAAGAAGGTATATTTCTCCACAGAGACAGCAAGATGCAGGTGCCTTGCAGTTGAACTTACCTCATCCACCATGCCCCTCTCAAACACATGAGATATGTCAACTGAAGCACTGCAAGGACAAGAAGGTACAATGTTAACATGGAGGTGGAGGTGAGCTGAGGTGAGGTGGGGCTAGGTGAGGTGAGGTGAGGTGAGGTGAGGTGAGGTGAGGTGTGGTGAGGTGAGGTGAGGTGAGGTGTGGTGAGGTGAGGTGAGGTGAGGTGTGGTGGGGCGAGGTGAGGTGTGGTGGGGCGAGGCGAGGCGAGGCGAGGTGAGGTGAAATGGGGTTTAAAATCACTTTCACGTTTATGCACTTATATAGCAACATGCATGGATATGTGTATGGCGGTAATAATATTCTGGTCTAATGATATGTTTATAGTTCTAGCCTGCTGGTTTTTGGTTTGGTTTGGTTTGTTGTTTTACGCCGCACTCAGAAATATTCCAGCTATATGACGGCGGTCTGTAAATAATCGAGTCTGGACCAGACAATCCAGTGATTTATATCATGAGCATCGATCCGCGCAATTGGGATCGATGACATGCTTCAACCAAGTCAGCGAGCCTGACCACCCAATCCCATTAGTCGCCTTTTACGACAAGCATAGTCACGTTTTACGGCAAGCATGGGTTGCTGAAGACCTATTCTACCCCGGAATCTTCACGGGTCTCTAGCCTACTGAGATGCAGTGCCGTTTGTCACCACAGATCAAATGGTCAGATGATCAGATGTCACCTGTGAGACCTCCCATCCCATACACACCCGCGCAGGAATGTAAAACTTAAACATGTCAAGTAAAGCTCAGTGATGGAAACACCTTTTTAAAGAACGCTGAAAGTTATCCAGTGGTCTGGGAGACAATATGCATATGCATACATACAATAACGGCATGTATAAAAAAAGTTACCCCTGATGTAACAAAATCCATGGAAATGCGGCGATCAGCAGATAATTCTCATTCCTGAAGGTGCTCTTGATACGATTCATAAGAATGCACTTCACAAACTGTACCCATAGCGGGAATCCAACCAAGGGCCCACTTGCATAAAGTGATCTTAGTGCTAAGACTATCGTAAGCCTATGTTAAAGTATGGAAGTTATGATCATCTTAGCGCATTGTGCAAGTGGGCCCAGGGTGCCGTTGTACAAAACACCCTTAGCGCTATGACTGTCGTAAGTCTATGTTAAGGTAAAGGAGTTACGCTCAACTTAGCGCTAAGATCTCTTTGTACAACGGCACCCAGGTCTTCAACATGACAGGTGAACATATTAACCATGGTACGAGAACAACCGCCCTTAATATGATTAAAGTATGATTGTAAACATATCATGGCACATTCAAAGCTGATTCAAGTCTATTATATGTCAGTGATCTGGAAAGATAACCCATGGATATGCTGCAGTGGGAGGACATACTTTCCTAATGGGTCATCCTTACTCCCTGGGTCATCGTCCAAGACGTCAACCTGCAGGCACTGTCCCTGAGCAACATCCACGATAGCCTGTGGGAAAGCAAGTGTTTCAGGTTCACATTTCAAATTGAACATTTTGTAATGATCAGGAGATACTGTTAGTATAACAACTAAAATCATAATCATAAAATGAAGCATATTGTCATCATAAAACATTATCAGAAAACATTCATAAAAATCGTAAAGTAAAACTTAACTGTGTATCTTAAATATGCTAAAACGAAAGTAGAACCAGCTGTCCCCTATCTTCCATAGGCAAGAGCGTCCACTCGCCTTATTATCAAAGTCTTGTATTCGCCCTTTCCACATCAAGCCCACTTGCCTGTGCTAAAAATGATTGGACTATTGCATATCTATGGATAGACCAATCAGAGAACCTTTCACAAAATCAACATCCACGACTGGTACATATTCGTATGAAAATGATTTACCGCTGCCTGTCTTTGTTGACACCACGAATATGTTTGTTTTTGTGTCAGGGATGAAATCGCAAATGCATTTTTTCGCTGATCGACTAGGTCCATGCCTATGGTAGTCACCATCTTTGTGAAGCCATACAACATAAGAACAGCGATCTGATTGGATATCGCGTTTTCATTACAAGGGTCACAACTCGTGATCTACGAGAGGTGGCTCAGGGTCGAAAGTGTCCTTGACGTGGCGAGGGTAGAAACTAGGCTTTGATATAGGCTAGTGGACAGGCTTTCCTCGGGAAGATGGCTGTCCCCATGTTTCCTTACTGAGAGACTGATGACAAACATTCACATATTAAACTCAACTTGAGAGCTTGTCCGCAATTCAAATGTTTGTTTACTGACTAAGATGAAAAAATAAAGGCTTCTGACTTGTGGACCCCTTTCGTATTGAGGACCGTCTATTAAGAATAAGAGTGTGGGTATTGTTCACTACTACTTCCAGGAATATTCCATCCGTACTACGACAGTTGACCGAGTTGGCTTCACATTGTATTTTCATGTAGGGTATCAAAACCATGTCGGTATGACAAGTGAACTCAGCTTGGCTACCCTACCTAGACCATGTAGACTGCTAATATACAAATATTGATCATGTTCATAGTAAGTGCAGAATCACAGCGGTTATCAGGGTTTAGATCGTCCCCCACTCTTACCTCGTACGTCATGTTCCACTTAGGGCAGATGGTGTTATTGATTGCTTTGGTCTTGAAGGTTTGGGCTCCAACTGAAATGAAAATTGAGCCCTAAATGTAATGCCAGATAATCAAAGGCAAAATTACATATATGCACTTTCAGATTATTTCATTACCCCCAGCCGCCGTGATGTTGCTGGAATATTGCTAAAAGCGGCGTAAAACCATACTCACTCACTCATTACCCCCAGAGTTCTACAATCTCATGGTCAAGACAAATGACATGAATGAATTTTTGGAAGGAATCAATAAACTTTTAATACCAAAAGGCAAAGTGAGAAAAGGCATTCTAGCTTTTCATATTTTTTGCTGTGAAAATATTAAATCAGAAAAAAACTTCAAATGCTGTCATACCTAATGTAACTGTAACCACGGTAACCAGAACTCACCAACAGCAATGGCATATGGGTCAGACTTGCCCTTCTTCATCATCCCAATATCTGCCCTGACCAACTCCTTGGCCTCCAGGATATGGATCCTTAACACACCCTGAAACACAACAGGCCGATTGTCAACACACCTGACACACAACAGGTAGATTGTCAACACACCTGACACACAACAGGTAGATTGTCAACACACCTGACACACAACAGGTAGATTGTCAACACACCTGACACACAACAGGTAGATTGTCAACACACCTGACACACAACAGGTACATTGTCAACACACCTGACACACAACTAGAGAGAATAGCAAAGTCAATGTCCCTCCCCAAATGGGGACAAAAGAGATCCTTACCTGCGGCTGTGGGTAGCGGAGCTTGTTGAGGTTCAGGCCCTCGACCATGGAGATGGGGATGCGGTTTGGCAGCACCATGATGTTGGCGATCTGCTCGATCACAATCGTGTGCAGCATGTCACTACGGACAACAATTAGATGTTAATCCCTGCACTTGATATACCCTGCATACTATGTACAGGCACAGCCAAAAATATCCATGGACCATCATCACTTTTAATTCACCTTCACTTTCAAATAATTGATCTTTAAAATCATGTATTATTTCAGCATTGAGTAGTTGTTAAATATGACTGCAGAACTTTCAGTGAAGAACTGACTGACCCCACTCATACATGTCATGCAACATTTCTACAAAGAAACAAGACTTAGAACATATAAATAAAGGCACGTGTGTGTGTGTGTGTGTGTGTGTGTGTGTGTGTGTGCAGAGGATGCATGCTGGACCACACATGTTCAGCAGATATCATTTTGTTTTCATAGTGGTCATCATACTAGCTGTCATAAGCAGACCTGAATAACATCTTTTGACTTTTCATGAAAGTCTCCAAGGCTGATGTTGACCAATGACAATGAAGCAGAACAAGGCAGAATTTAGGGGAAATATGCTCAGACAATTTCAAGTAACCCATAGCAAACCTGGTATTTAGATTACAAAATATAATCAAACAATTAAGAAAGACCATAAATATAAAATCACAGCCTTTTAAACAAGCATCACAGCATATATGTTTATCATACTATGTTTACATGACCAAAATTATCATACACAGAAGTAACATGCGAAGATCTGGTAGATACTGCTTGGTTAACAGATTCACTGGGATTCCTAAAACGGGGGAACAATGCTAAAAATCTTTTCATCATCCTGCCAATTCCTGTTTGCAAATTAAAAGCCCAGAACGCCTGTCACAGGATTTTAGAAGTAATTTTATGTTCAAAGAAACACCAAACAGCCCCCACAAAGTCTAGAGGTTTTAGAATGGAACTGCACACCAAGTCATTATAGAAATCTGCCATAAATACATGCAGGGCAGGGCAAACAAAGGAGGACAGAGAGCCAGGAGGACATACTTCAGACCAGGAAGATCAAATGCATTGGCCAGGCTGGTCAAGTTGAAGTCAACAGTCTGAAAATGAAACAGGCAATACAAGACAATCACTTACAACAAAACATTCTCAGACTCAAAGTCCAGACGTATATTACAAATTATTGAGATCAGTCACATGGCCTTTGGGCAACAGAAGGAAACAAGTCATAACAAGTCATTCAAGATAATAGAAAAAACATTAAAAAATTCATAAGGAAAGAGTGAGTGAATGCTGTTTTATGCCCCATTCAGAAAGGTTCCAGCTGTAAATAACTGACTCTGGGCCAGGCAAACTAGTGGTTGATAGCATGAGCAACTATCCACATCATCAAGGAGGACCTGACCTGTGCTGCAACCTCGACAGGGAAGTGCATACACTTGAAGAACCGGTTCTTGCTTAAAAATGTCATCCAACAATGTCTTCAGTCAAGTCGTGGCAGTATTGACAAAGATATCAACCAAGAGGTAGAGAAGCTCATCATGTTCAGCCAATTTAACTCAATAGCAAACAATGCTTTAAGTGATTTTTTCGACATGTTCTTGACTCAATTCTTGATGAAGATTTAACCTTTATGCACAGGTTTTGAGACATAAGTTTTAGTCGATTGCAAATAGAGAACCCAAATAAAGCCAATCTCTTCTGCCCCTTTTCACTTCCTATGGATATATCTTAACCATGTTCACAAGATTAATTAAAAATTGCATTCATTTCCCATCTAAAAATACAGCATGTTTCGCGACAGACATATCTTCACGAATGGGTGCAGTGTCAGGCTGCAGGGCTGCACTCACGGGGTTGTTGAGGAAGAAGACGGAGATCCCCCCCAGCAGCGGCATCTTGCTGATGAGGGGTTTGAAGACGACCCGCATGATTCCATGAAGCTGAAGACAAAAACAAACACCTGTCAACATCATCTAAGCCAGGTTTGTAGCATTAAGTCTGAGCTACATGCAAAGTTAACTTTCTCTGTATATGTATAATATATAAATTGCAAGTGATTCCACGGTATTTGACTGGCTAAATAGGCAATTCTTTTGCATTTATATTCCCTTTAGGCCACGTCGCCTACAAGACTACTGTGTTCTGATAATTGTGTAGGCATGGCATGGTTTGCTTTATTCTCTTGAACAACATCACTGATTTCTTTTTCTTTTTGTGCTAATGCTTAAATAAGCAGACTTGAACTTATTATTGTTGACTTGATTACTTATACGAATTGACTTTAATAATGTTTTGCACTTATAAGGTATCAGGTAAAAAAGGCTGTGTGCACTGCAATTTTTACCAAAATTCCTCCATAAGCGCAAAAAATATTGAGTGAGTGAGCTGGGTTTAACGCATCTTCCCGAGGCATGAGAGTTAACTGACTTTAAAAGTCCAGTTTCCACCCTTGCCGAACTAGGCTTGAATTCCTGGGCTCGATCGTAGCGCCACAAGTGATTATTACGAGTTATGTCCCTTCTAAACCTCTCCTATGGACCAATCAGATTCCACCTGTCATATCACTTGCATTTGATTCAAACAAATCTGATCGATAATCAAGATCTATATTGTGATAAAACAGGTCTTACATCACGAAGTGCATCAAATCACGTGAGCACCTTGATTAAAATCATGAAAAGATTTGGAAAATATCTGTTGACAAGGAGTTGGCGGTGCAATTGCTTTGCAAATCCTGCAATCGACGGAAATAAACCGGATTTTGATTTCGTTGCGCGATTTTGATTTGACTATGCATAGACTTGTTAGCCCAGCCAAAATTTAACTCCATAATACCAGCCTGGTTTGGCAAGGGTGGAAACTGGACTTTTATAGTCAGTTAACTCCCTAGCCTCGGGAAGATGGGTTTAACATCACTTTGAACAGTATTCCAGTTATATCACGGCGTGTCAGTTTAATGTGGGAGGAAAGTCGAAGTGACGCAGGTCTCAGACATTTACCACTTTGTGAAACCCACAATCACGGGTATGGTGCTGACAAACCTAGAAACATAATCAGGGTGAACCAGGATTTGAACCCACAATCATAGGTTTCTGGTGTGCCCAAGGGACACGCACCTTAGATGACTGGGCCACTTGTTCCTCCCCAAAATATTGAAGTCAATTTGTAAGAATATCTGTTGGAAGGGTGATAAGGAATTACCTGCCCTCATATAGCTGGAATATTGCTGAGTGCGGTGTTTAACAACAAACAAACAAACAGGAATTCCTGTTGACAGTGAGTAGTGTCTTCTCACCATATTAACTAGGGGTGTCACGATGAATCAAAATATCAATATATTGCTATTGGTAAGCACTTTAAGTCAATAAATCTATTGTTAAATCAGTTTCCAATCAATGGTATCGTTTTCAGTTAGGAATATCGATAGTTTTGATTGTATTTACCATATCAATAAAATAGATGTAACGCTGTTCAAATTTGTTTTCTTTTGATCATGAGTGGTAGTAACATACACATGGTAATGTGGAAGTTTCTTTTTCTTAAATTATTAGGGTAAAGAAAAAACAAATCGGTAATATCCCAAACTTCACTTTTTATTTGTTGCTATGGTTATCACATTCAAAGGAAACTTCAGTTCCAAGGTTTAATTCAACTCTAAAATCCATCTAAAATGATACACTGAAAACTATCAATATTTATTGCAATAGTTGCTTGCAATATCAATAGTGCTCGCAATAGTTTCTTTCAATATCAATAGTTATCACAACAATGATTTCCACACCAATAGTCACCCTAATATTAAGCAATAATACAACAGAAAATCACTTCTGGTCGTAACTGACTATTTCAATAAACATCTGCCTGGTTGAACAGGTCATTGTCTCACCTGCAAGTCTTTGATGCCTGCATTGATCCCCTTCACCTGAACAGCCACATTGGAATCGCTGCTGTACCTGTGAGGTAGAAGTATCAACATGTCACTGAAGTATCCAATATCAATGAACTGAATGGTTCCAGCCAATCAGAGATTAACCTAGCGACAACCGAAAGAACCAATCAGAGCTCTCCTCTAAAAACACAACAGTGAGTGAGTGTGGTTTTTACGCCGCTTCCAGCAATATCACGGTGGGGGACACCAGAAATGGGTTTCACCCATTGTGCCCGTGTGGGGAATCGAACCCGGGTCTTCAGCATGATGAACCAACGCTTTAACCACTAGGCTACCCCATCGCCCCTAAAACACATCAAAGATGCTGAGCAAATATTGAAAGATGCCTGGAGTACAGTTCTAACGAGACACTGTCCTAGACTTAACAATAGCTCCTCTACAACATATACTACTCAGAAGAAAGTAAGGGCCACCTGATTGTTTCCTATTACTTCAGTTAATCTGTCACACCAGGACAGATTAGCCATAAAAATGTTAAAGAATCGGGTGGTCCTTAACTTCTTTTGAGTAGTATATATGCAATGATACCAAAAATTCTTATTTTTGTTGTTGTTAATGCTGCACTCAGCAATACTCCAGCTATGGCAGTCTGTGAGTGAGTGAGTATGGTTTTAAGCCGCTTTTAGCAATATTCCAGCAATATCACGGCGGGGGACACCAGAAATTGGCTTCACACATTGTACCCATGTCGGGAATCGAACCCGGGTCTTTGGCGTGACGAGCCAACGCTTTAACCACTAGGCTACCCGACCACCCCTATGGCAGTCTGTGAATAATAAAATCTGGACCAAACAATCCAGTGACTGATATCATGAGCATCGATCCACAAACATGAAATGCGATGACTTACAATCAGTGAAGTTCCCAAGCCTGACAACCTGATCCATTCAGTTGCCTCTTATGGCAAGCAGAAGTTGCTGGGGACCTATATTCTCACCTGGAGTCCCAACCCAGGAAAGCAAACATCTATGTGAGGAAAAGTGTCAGGTAAATTTTCAAATGAAAAACGAGGGTATGGTGTGGATCACGGGCAACAGTATCACCTGACCTGCCGAACCAGTGGTTGATAACTTGAACAAAGATCCACAGGGACACATGAACCATACACACACTTCCTCTACCCATCAACCATTATCATACCGTATTTTCTTGAGTATAGTGCACACTTTTTTTTAAAAAAAAACACAGCTGTGTAGAAGGGGTGCGCATTATACACGAATTAATGAGTTTTGATGTATTTTCCCCCATGGAAAGACATTACCGCGAGCATGTAACACCGGAAATACCATGTCAACAAATCCATACTGAAGTACGCAAATTAATCATGTAATTACACTGTCTGGCTATAAAAAGTGTTCTTTGTATATCTGGACTTATGTTTGTAACTTATTTTATTAATTATATTCAAAATTCTTTTTTATATTGTTTTAATTAATTTCGGTGAAACTGGGTGTGAAGCGATCGGAAGATCGCACAACTCACCGTTATTAACAGCAACCACGGTCAGATTAACGCTATTGACGCCTTGAAACGAACTTTAGTTGACAGAGAATGGATACATATATCATAAATGCCATACTGTGACTCGTTAAAAGTCATATTTGTTTTTGTTGGACGATTCTATGTCAACACGTAATTCTCACAATCGCGCGATCATGTGCACGGGAGCCTTGACGGTGACTGGTCAGACTGGTTCCATGTAAAAAATAATACCCGGCAATAGCGATCAGCTGCTTCGCTTAGGGTTATTATTATTTTAAATATGTTTAGTAAAAGCTGCATCTAAATTAACAAGATATTTGAATATATTATTCCTGATAAAAAAATAGTTTCAGATACAACTTTTGCCGATCCTTGCATTAAAATACTGTAAAGTTATATCATTGGGTGTGTCTTGACCGAATCACCGGTAGATTCCAAGAAAACATGTGTACAGCTGATTGCTGTGTCCGGCTTAGTTTACGAGAAAATACACATGGTAATCTTAATCCCTGGATATAAAACAATGCCTAGCTGAACAAAAAATACAATTTAAATGATTTTTTATCTCAAATTTCGAATTTGTACTGACAAAATTTCTCATCACCCGTTCGTTTGCCGGACTTCGCTGAAGGGGTACGGTGTAATTTTTTTCTGCGCATAATATTCAAATTTCTTTTTTTCCAAAATATTGAATTCGCTAGAGGGGTTGTGCATTATACATGGGTGCACACTTTACTCAAGAAAATACTGTACCTCCATGTCAGAATGATGAGATCTGATTGGTCCACATCATTTTGTTAAAATACTGTGTATCACGCCTTGGAAGGGAATAAATGTCTCAGCAGGGGAATAAATCTCTTATACACCATCACAAGCAAGTAAGGCTGCACGTGGATTTCTGAGAGGCAAAATAAATCCCTTATACCCTGCTTCAAAGCAAAAAGCCGCATTGTTCCATGTCACTTGACATAGGGCAAGCTAACCTCAGCTCAATGCAACAGCTGTTTTCAATCAATTGTGAATTTGTTTGAATTCTTTAACAATGCCATATTAAAACATGTTGGTGAGATAAGGTCAGGATGTATACCACTCGATCCCGGCACCTAACCCCCCGGCTCGTGTTAAAATCCTAATGTGGAACGCATAAAACCCCATGTACCCATCATCATCCTGCTACAACTTATATTGCAACCCTGATATCCACAACACTGGAGGATCATAGGGACATATTCTGCCCCACATTCCACAATGGATTCACTGCTAAAGAACTTACACAATCTCCAGGTCCATGTAGATCTCATCTCTCCGCACATTCTGGGTGTACACCTTCACTCCACCAATCCTGGGTGGCTACAACAGAACGATTACAACCGTAACAAGAAAGAACATCTTATGCTATAGGTTTTCCAACAGTAAGTCCTTTAAATTAATGAGTAAGTTGGAAATTGATGGAATTATCTCAATCTTCACCTCAGTGTCAAATGACATTGACGGCCCAACTAACAATCGCGACATGTAACTGAATAACTGTGATCCAATGATACACCCCATACTTCTGATGTTGGCCGCAGTGATGAGATGCAAAACAATCATCATGAAGCATGGTTGCTGTCCGGTAAGTAGGACACAATAGTGTGTACCGCTCTAATAAGCGCCCACGGTGATATATTTTAATATATTGGCTAGTGAACAATCCCAATCAGCACCCCTTCCAATTGATCAATGTACAAAAAATTTATTAATTCGCGTATATTACGCACTCGTGTCTTTTATGCAACCTTAATTATGGGCAATTAAATTCTGGAAGAATATATATGTTGTATATAAACATTTCAGGCTGTCCGCATAAACCACGAAATTTATCTTTCAACTCTGTTTTTTCACCAAAATATTATTCTAATAAGAACCCCCTATTTCTAATTTTGAGAGCGACCTGGGCGCTTATTACGTCGAATGCGGTATTTTGCAAGTTTGTTGGTAATTCAAATTCACTGTCCGGATATAGAAACCAGATTTCTAGACAAAAGAATTATTTTATGTTGTATTTATTTTGTTTCACATAAACATCATCCAAGCAAGGTTTACGGGTATCCGGGATCCCGAAAAGCAGGTTCCCAGGGATTTATCTAGACTTGCTCAGTGGCTGATTTTCAGCCCTAAGTCTGCAGTAAATGTCAGTTAAAATTCCCAATTGACCACTTCCTGCTGTAATCATTAAATCAATGTGATAACTTGGTAAAGTTGACGTGTTTTCCCCTGTTAACAGGACAACAAAGTGGGAGAGCATGCAATGATTGTACCTACATTATTGTATAGATTGCAATGTCAACATTCCCCTGAATTTAGGAAAATAGGATTTCAAGAACCATCGCAAAAAATTGAACACAATAGCAATGTTTTACTGATTTGCCGGCTAAAGGCACCTGGTTTGGAATGCTTGATAAATTCCTGGTTCCACTGTAGCATTGCTAAAAACTTTGTTATTTCCAACTGAAGTAAACTGCAAAGATTTGTTTGTACAAGCAGAAAAATTGGTTATGTTCAAAGTGATGAAGTAGATTCACTGAATTATAGTGAATATAACTTGTTATACCACATACTACTTCATCTCTTCACAGGCTAAATGCCAGTGCCACAGTGTGAAGTGAACTGGTTTTTATGGTCATATGACTCACAATATCTCCGATGTCGATCTTGCTGAACTTGAAAGACGAGAGGGATGCGGGAAGACTCTCGCGAATTTTTGGCTCGATGGATTCTCTGAGAAGTTTGTCGACATAATCCCCTATGTATGGCCACAACTGGTCGATCATCTGTTTCAAAAAGAATTTAAAACATATAACTACATCTAAATACATTGTTAAAACCATTCACAAATACTAAATGTACAGCTGAGCAGTGAGACGGAAATGGTTTCACTCAGTATAGAGTAACTATACCCATCAATGTATCATGAAGATGATTTTCACACCAAGCAGTCATCATGGTCGAAATTTAAAACGCAGGGAAAACCACCCATCGCCATGGTTTCTGCCCAACAGCTAACAAATTAAATATATGTAAATGCCATGCTTTCGAGACTTTGCAACTGAAAATATCTGAACTTCACAATAAAAATTTCTGGATTAAGAATCTCATTATGAGAAAGTATATGCGGCATTCAAACATAACATGGAACTTGGAAGTCAAAGAAACTTTGTCATAAGTGTAATGTTAAAAGTTTATGATTGAGGAGGTCTTCAAATTAAAACGCTATAGCTGCAAATATAAAGGTCCCCTCTCAGATCTTTGTTTAGCAGTAGCGAGAACTAAGATCTCATATTAATAAGATTTTTTTACAATTTGATCATAGACTTTGATTCGTACACAAATAATACCAGGATATCATTCTTAATGAAGCTTCGAGTAACAAAGATGTCACGTCATTACAAATGCACAACAAATGATTTCAGAAAACTGACCTTGTTCAACCATTCTGCTCTCTCGACATCCGGGAAACATACCTGCAAGTATAAACACAGTTTTATTGACATCAATATTACCTGGATGTGGATTACACATCACATCATCAGCCATGGGTGATGCATCCGGCAACAGGTGGTGACGTGGGGAGCACATCATCCCACAATGACAGATGTATCATTCTCCCATAACAAACATCAGGGATAATGACATAGGAAATATACGTCAACTATGCTTAGTATGCAAAGGGTCTTGTCAAAACATTGAGGAACAAGCACAGCCATTTTTTAAACGAGGGGTCTATTTTGTTAACACAATTAACATACAAGTGTGTTTGGTAGTTATGCTATTTGTAGAACAGACAAAATAAACCAAATGAGTTTTGTTATAAATGTCTAAATGACTGCTTATATATTATACAGGGAGGGGGGGGGTGGGGGGTGGGGGTGGGTTGGTGGGATTGGTCTTAGGACTGGAACACATTTTGCTGGACTAAACCCCGTATTAGGTCTTGTTTCTCAGGCACCGCCCGCATCATCCTAAAGTCTGACGCACGTTTCGTTTTCATTTTCATTTTCTAAATCTAATACTTAAAAACAATGCAATCCAAAATAGCATCCAGTTACTTCCTGCTGTACTGTGCATCTCGTGTTATGGTCATGGTGGCAAGAGGAGTTTGTATGCTTGTTTATGTAGGGAGGTCCTTTCCCAGGTTGATGGTACACAACTGTTTATCTGGCGACATACTAGTTTGAAGAAGAAAAAGAGAAAGGAACCACCCGCCCACACTATATTTTCAAAAGTAAAGTAACTGCCTGAGAACCAATTCTTTTATTTTTTAGGCCCTATGTAACACTTTTTCATGCCCCCTCCCCCACCTCCTCCCTGTTAAGTAGTTGTTGTACGAGTCGTATGACCAGTCCCTACAAATGCCCTATCCCTCTGTACACAAGTTCGAGGGTAAGAGGTTGAAGGCCCATTTAGATTCTTTGTTCACAGTAATCACAGTGACATTTTCAAGCTGATGTTGAAGATGAGGAGATGTGTACATGTTTTTATCTTTTTTTCAGCTACATGAAGGCGGTCTGTACATAATCAAGCCTGGACCCGACAATCCAGTGATTGTCACCGTGAGCTTCGACCTACAAGATTGGGATACGATATTATAACATGCATCAACCAAGTCAGCGAGTCTGACCGCCGATCCTGTTCGTGGGATGGGATGGGATGGGATGCTGAAGACCAACTCTAACTGGGATGTTCATGGGGCCAGACTAGAATGTCTAATGCATTTCCTGTTGTAATTGATGTATTACATACTTTTCCAAAATGTTCTGAAATTGTTCAAATGATGTAAGGGTGAGCGTGGTGGTCACAATAGCAACAAATTATGTCAGTGTTTTCACTCATGTCCGTCAATACATGTGTATACTGACAGACCCGTGAAGATCTGGGGTAGAATAGATCTTCAGCATGTTCAGCAATCCATGCTTGCCGTAAAAAGCGACTATGCTTGTCGTAAGAGGCGACTAAGGGGATCGGGTGGTCAGGCTTGCTGACTTGGTTGATGCATGTCATCGCATTTCAATTGCGTGGATAGATGCTCATGATGTCAATCACTAGATTGCCTGGTCCAGACTCGATTATTTACAGACCGCCGTCATATAGCTGGAATATTTCTGAGTGCGGCATTAAACAACAAACAACAACAAGACCCCCCGGACATTTTGCACTGAGAAACACTTGTCCACAACTTAGTGACACTTGATTTTTGTACAGCCATTTGGAAATAAGTACATATGAGTTCATAAACCTTGGGTTCATACAGTTAGGCATATAGCAATCAAATGTAACTATGGAGGGATAAACCAACCTTTTATGTTTCCAAGGACAAGAGAAATAAGTATTCCATTGACAAATGAGGCAAACAAAAGCATTCATAAAAGCTGAAGTTTCTTTACATGCTTTATCAATTCTGCATGGGTACGAACATTGGCACTTAATCTGATGCTCATGTCCATTGGTCAATATATTAGGGGTGGGACAAGTCCAAATTTACTACCCAGGTACCCGACCCCCTATTACCCGACCCTACCCAGGTACCCGCTGTAGGTCTCAAGAGTTAGGTACAAAATCTCTGATTGGGAATTACATTTTATTGGAGCCTTGGCAAAAGGTATTTAGTTATACACATACAAAACAATCTGGTCATGCGTACACTGTAGTGAACACTAACAAGTCAGAAGGAATGGGTGCATAGTCAGAAAGAAATGCAAACATAAGTGTTGTGTAACCAGCTGGTATCTATGGGGTTTTAGTGAATTCTGGTCATAGAACAATACATCACGTGACTAACCACGGGTCCAGGAAGTCCTGTGGGTACCCGGGTCCTAATCAGTACCAACCCGACCCGAGTACCTGAATTACCCATCCCAGCCCTACAGTACAGTGATAGAAACTAACCGTTTTAGTCTACTAGTCCTTTTAATGATAACATATAGCAACTCCCTTAAAAAATGCAAATTTCTACTGGTCCTTATGATACCTTAACCATTGGGCAGTTTTGCAAGGACTACAGGACTAATGGCAATTTCTAACACTGCAATATATGCATTGTATCAAAATGTTTTGTTTGGAATTAACTGCGTATGATTGTTGTATTTTGTGACACAGATCATCTAGTTGATTGGGGTCTAGTTGAGGAGGGGCAATAAGAACTTTCACAGTTATTGACAACATTTAGAGGCCCTTGGAGGCATGTCCTTCAGTATAAAATGGTCATAAAATTTGCTAAACAAATAATCTTTTTCTTAGGATATGAAATTTGACATTTTTAGCATAAGATCAACAGTGTGATTATGAACAAAAATACTTGAGTCTCACAGCTGTGTGTGTGAGTTGACATGTATGAGTGATCTGTTTCTCAGTTATTTATCTACTACTGTATCCTCATGATCATGAAACAATAACATAGTATGACTCAATAATATCACGGACACTATTTTATTGCGGTATGGGTAAATTTCGTAATCTACACCCCCTGTCGACTGGTTACTTAAGCAAATCTAAGCACAACATGTCATCGCTTGATTGAATACAGAACTTGTTTACGCGTAAGTATACACATTATCACTGATTATCTTTTTTAAGTTAGTTTCTGGAATGTTTTTAAAGTGGAATTACCTCTACCTACATTCGTAATTGATTAAAACAGAACCCATTTGTTTGGACGAAGTCCCTTAACCCAACCTAGGTCGTATGCATACTGATTATGCATAATCCACAAACAGGAAGTGATGTAAAGCACAATATCATACCACAAAATTGCCATACCACGATAACAGAGTTGCATGCCCTTAAGTCGATAATTACAGGTACTTTGTTTACCAAATTCGGTAAAGAAAATCAGCATCGATCTATCATATTTGATGTATTATAAAAGTTGAACAAAGAACAAGAAACATTTTGCGTATGACTTATTTAATAGTGTGCACCATTACGATCCATCATAAATTAACCGTCGCGATAATATAGCGTACCATGCTACAAGTGATTCACTCAAGATCTAGGTGTCAGTGCATCACATATAGCTTTACAACATCGATTGGCTATTACAGTCACAAGTTACATTAATCAATCCATTCTATTTCAAAACTTACTGCAATGATGGCCATACATTGCTGTGTTTACAGTTTTTTACTTTTTGCATTTGGAACATTTACAAATTTGGGAATTGCTGTACGTAATCATGGCCTTGATATAATCACTCCCTGTGGCAGGAAACTGGGCAATGCCTTGATCGGCCAAGCATTACCAGTGTATTGTCGTTCAGTTGCCTGGAGGGTTAGTTTGACCTAACTTCCTAATCTGCTGACAGCTACTGCTGTCACGCTTGACACCAACATAGGATAAATATGTCGTCCATCAGTATCTACTGGCGACCAACTTGACGGCCATGTAAGGAATGCAAAAACGCGATGCACCCACACAGTCAGTGGGCGTGACGAAATTAGTGACAACAGGCATCTTTTCGACTGGACGACCCTGGTCCATGGATTTCAGTGCACGGAAGAATCTTTGAAATCACATCAATCCGAAATGTCCACTCACCTATTACCCAAAACTGTGATTAAAAAAATGCTCCATTCTTCTTATATGTTGGACAGAAAACAGCACGAGGTTGAACCATAATAACGTGGACAATCAGTATACCTTTACCGCGGTTGAGGTAACCGAATCGAACACCTGTCCAACTGTTTACTGTTAGCCTTGAAACAATAATGCAATGTTTTCTCCAACTTACCCATGATGGCAAATCTTCTACTCTGGCCAATATCTCATTCTTTTCATCCCTGGCAGTGCGTTGGTTGATCTCGATTTTCAGTTTCTTTTCACGAGTGTGCTTCTCCTTCCAAACATAGACCACCAGACCCAGGAGGAGCCAACTTGGGGAGAAGGCGAAATAGCCAACAAACCATACCACTAAAGCGAGACCGGCTAGTTTGAAGTACTCCGTTACAACATTCAGAAGTAATGTATCGTCAAGTGCAGTCTTCCGTTTGGGAGATGCAGGTTTCTCCGTTTGTTCTGCCGGTGCAGACATGGTGGATGTCAGGCAAGTTGTGTTCACATTCCACAACACATCTAACGGGAAAGCTTCGCTTCGCTGCTTTTTGCAGCTCGTTTCCGCGCTCCCTTCTTTATCGACTAGTATAACCTGCTAGTCAGGTTTGATGTGGCAGCATATCTGTTGAAGATATTATTTGGAACCTAGATAGGTGTCTATTTCATCTGGGCAGATTAAAAATGACACGTTCTCTTTACATTATGTATTTCATTATTGAAAATATGCTAATTGTGTCCCTGCATACAAGGTTATTAGTTTTTAGTTCGGTTAACACAACTAGTAGTGTTTACCAATTAGTATGGCGGACAACTACATTGCTATTTATAGTAACAGATGTATAGCGCGAGTAGAACCAGTTCCGCCACTCATCTACTTTGTCATGTCACTGATGTGATAGAACATGTTATTTAACAAGCAGAGACAAATGTTCTATATATAAATAAGCTGACGAATTATGAGATAATGATGATTAACTTGAGAGCGGTATTAGAGTCTACAACGAAACGTCTATGGAGTTACGTTGGCTAATAAAGTTGTTCATACATACTATATTTAGATGTATATAGATAATTATATCAAATCATTATCCTTACATTTCCCAAATTCCTATATGGCGGCTAAAACGTTTTTACAGGTCCTGTTTCAAAGTCAATAACTAAATATGTTATTGCGCGATCTAAAATATATGTGCACGTATTTGAAGCTTATCACCTTTGGTAATGAATCATGTTGCACTTTGCCAAAGCATATAAAGTGCGATGCAGATTTTAATGGGGATCTACAAGGCAGGGACGCGTTCCACAAAGCGATCTTAGTGCTACGACTGTCGTAAGTCAGTGTTAAAGAATGGGAGTTACGACTGACTTAGCCCTAAGATAGCTTTGTGGAACGGGTCCAGGAGAGCAACTAGGCTTATTTTAACTGTAAGCAAAACCAATTTCACGAGGGACCGCAAGGGGAGTTTGGGGTCATACGCGCCCCAAGAATTCATAAAAAATTGGATGCTCTAATTCGTGCATTTTGGGACCGTGTGCGTTAGATTTTATTTGTAAACAAATGTGGTAATCTATGATGACAAATGAAATTTGAACATTAAAATAATCGATAATCTTTTTTTAATGTGTATTTTCATGTTCATTCGTAGCATATGATGGTTATTTATTTTTTCATATTTTAACGCGAGCCGACCTATCATTATAATGAAAATAATTGTGAGAGCGCGGTTTGCTTACGTCACATACCATCTACCTATAAGATCCTAAAATGCGCAAAGATTCCGATTTTCAAGTAAGACAATAAATATCACGTTCGACCGTGTAGAGTTTGAATTAATAATTTACTGCATAAATGGTAAACTGAGGTTTAAATGTGCTAAAAATGTGGTTTGTTTTAGGTATACATTTGTAGGGGGTGTTTTATAGGTGTAAGCAATTGCTTTTCTGCTACAGTGGTAGTTACGCCCCTGTTAGGAAAATACGATGGAACAGCCCGTAGCTCCGTGCAACGACAAGTCAATATTAAAATCGTTTAGAGGAAGCGTCACAGAAATACGACTACCACAGCAAATATTGTGAATATTATCCTTAATCTGTACTCAAGGTTAAATAACCATGATAATGATCTTACGTTTCATAACGTATTTACTTGCATGCCCGAAGGAAGGAATTTCAAAGTGGGGGGAAAGGATCGATACACGTCAATAACATGTTTATTACACCGTGCGTTTGAACATGATATTTTCATGCCTTTTTAGATACCATATGTTCTACACATACATATGTTCTACACATACATATGTGTATGGTATGTAAGATAAAGAATACATAATATTATATAACCCATGCTTTTCGCAAAAGCCTACTAGTCGTAAAAGCTGACTTGTAAAAGCCGATCGGGGGGTCAGGCTCGCTGACTTGGTTGATGCCTGTCATCGTATACCAATTGCATGGATCGATGCTCATGATGTAAATCACTGGATTGTCTGGTCCAGACTCGATTATTTACAGACCGCCGTCATATAACTGGAATATTGCCGAGTGCGGCGTTAAACAACAAACAAACAATGTTTAATGAAATGAGTCTTTTCGCATTACATCAGGACATGTACATGCCATCTAACACACGAGAATGTGACCCTGTCACTAAAGAATGGGGGAGCGAAACGTGTTCAGTATCAATTATGAAATACCTGAATACGCAAAGAGGCACGTGCGTTGACAAAACTAGCCAAATAATGACAGGTTGCACGGGAGGCCGTTCTTTGAGCGAAACCTAAAAATTAAACTATTTTTAAAACTTTCTGCAAAGCGACATACCTTGTTTCTTCGGAGGACAGAATATTGCTTAGTGAGGCGCTAAACAAACAAACAAACAAACAAATAGATACAAATAATTCAAAGTATGATCAATAAGGACTTATGTAGTTTGTTGACTTGTTGACAAAAATACAAAATTCATATTCTGCTTCGCAATATCTGTGATATTTGCATTGCTTACGGCGAGAGATCTGTTTGTAGTCATTCCCCAGTAGATATATATTGTACAGCATTTCGAAGGGAAAGAAAGGTTCCGGCTTGACTACCCGCTGGCATTTTTGCATGGAGTCACTTCCAGACTACACGTGTGGCTACTCTCTGTAGAATTGGGCTTCACCCATGGTGCCCATGTACGGAATTGAACACGAGCCTTTCGCGTGACGACGAACGCTTCAACCACAAACTCCCCAACCGCCACCGCTGGGTGAGTGCTCTCATTCGGAATTAACACCTTGCACAGGTAGCAAAATGTGCGTGACATTAATGTGTGTCAGTACAAGCAGCAGCAATATTAATTTGATCAAGTGGAGAGTGGGCCACAAGGGTCTATTTGCCTTAAATCCAATATTTTAGTGCCACACCATATTACTCTTGGAATGACGCTTCCATTAAACTTGGCAGTGCTGTTTATCCCACAACACCATTCAAAAATGAAAGCAAATGTCAAATGACGTTTACTGGGAAAAACAATATGTCTAAGGCTGGACTTCCTTATGTATATCATCTGTGTAAAATTTGGGGATATGACATTTAGTCAAGAAGTCATCTTCCCGAGGCAAGGGAGTTAACTGACTCTAAAAGTCCAGTTTCCATCCTTGTCGAACGAGGCTGGAATTCCTGGGCTCGATCGTAGCGCCACCAGTGGCTATTACCAGTTATGTCCCTCCTAAGCCCCTCCCATTGATCAGTCAGATTCCACCTCTCGACCGAAATCTGCACGACAGTTTACGAAACGGATTTCGATTTCGGTGGGCGATTTTGATTGGACTATGCATAGACTCGTTAGTCCAGCAAAAATGTAACTCCATAATACCAGCCTAGTTCGGCAAGGGTGGAAACTGGACTTTTATAGTCAGTTAACTCCCTTGCCTCGGGGAGATGTCAAGAAGTAGGCCTTCCCTCGGCACCAATTGTGCTCCCTTTCTTGGCGATCTGTTTCTTTATGCATATTCAAATGTCCCTCAGTCACCTTTCCCTTTGAGTGTAGCAATATTCCAGTGTGTTACTTTTCACAACTTTTGAGGTACAATCGAGCATGCTCTGTCTTCGAAACTTTCAAACACCTCGACGTCGGTACACTCGAATCCGTCCATCGCTGTGGCTGGGGTGAAAACGAGACTCGTCAATGAATAGAACTTGTCCCCGCTGCATGGCCGTCCAGCGTAGACGCTGTCTGCGCCACTGTAGACGTGCTTGACGGTGGTTTCCTGTCAAAACGGGACGTCTGGCGGTTCTTCTGGCGACAATCCCTGCACATCTGAGGCGACGACGTACGGTTTGTAAAGATATTCGTCGAAGGCCAGGGATGCTTCTTGCAGTCACTGTTGCTGGCTGGAATCGATTTCGTAGGTGTGTTGTTCGAATCCAGTTGTCTTGTCGATTATTGGTTACGCGTGGCCTGCCACTCCAAGGATGGTCTCTGACTGCATTCGTCTGTTGCCAACGTTACCATAAACACCAAATGGTGTTTCTGTGGACGTTAAATTGTCTTGCAACATCACGTTGACTCGATCCTGCAACAAGCATACCAATGGCTCGCAGACGCTCATTTTCGGACAGGCGTGGCATTTCGTAATGTTGTTGAATAATTGCGTAATTTTGTTGTTGTCAGCACGATGCTTAACAATGCATATGGAATCCCGTTAACGCACATATTTTTATACCCATCCTGGGTAGTGAAATGCATGGGGCTTGCATTAAAGCTTGAATTATGCTTTTCTGTAGCAGTTGCGTTTTTGTGACTTGATTCCAAACATGTACTACAATATTGTAAACCAAACTTAAATTGTTTGAAAAATACACTAAATTGTGCAAAGTTAATCGTTCTACACAGGCTTGAAGATAAGTATGAATGGAAACAGGGCTGTGAATCACTCCCTGCTAATAAAATTAAACGTCTAGAATTATTCAAAAAGCAAAACAACTGATGATCATATGATAACCCCAATTTTGTACACCTCTTTACATTGGCCTGGAGAACATAGTGTGAACGATGTCACTCGATAGGGATTTGATAGTTTTGCTGACAGATGAAACTGACGAAGCAGTCGACTGTGCCATGACTGATGCAGTGGAAACCGGATTCAAGGCGACAGGTGGTCGAAGCACTTTATCAATCCCCCAACCGTGTAGATCTACTGACCGAAAGGTTACTTTAATTTCTGTCTTGGAATTCCGAAATGGTAGAATGGTAATTTGGACGTTTGTATGCCCTGACATCAACATGATGCGAGTCGGGGCAATGTCACTTTTCAGCATTTATTATTTAAATGCTTTCTACTGCTGTGGTTGATGCTGCCCTTGTCGGAAACAAAATTGGATCCGCAACCATGTTCCTCAAGCATGTTCCATGAGCCAAGCTTATTATGACCAACTTGCTGTCGTTTGAACCATATTTGGCCGTCTAGAGGCTTGCAGAAATCAGCTGGTCTGACTGATATGAATTTCATGTATGCTTCAATAGGACACGGGTCTGGATTATCAGGAATGGCCCAAACACGGAGGGAGTTTCCGGTCATCTCTGATATTTGATCCTGTGCGCGTTTTGGTTTGTCGTTCATTCATCTCCATGGAAACAGTACCATGAGTGTCCCCGATCCGTTTACCGCAAATGTCTCCCCAATACCTTTGTCTATGTGTTATCACCGATCGCATTTCGGTATACGATGTTGTTCCACCACAGCAGGTTCAATAAGGATTCGGGATTGGATGTACCTAGTTGACCAGGTGACCACAGTTTGTTTTCCAATTCACCATCGGATATTGCTCCCGCATTGTACAGCAAGTTGCCCTCGCCTTCTGTTTATGTCAGTTTCTGTTTCTGTTTAGATGTCAGTACTTCGAGACACTGTCGAAAATAGGCCCTTACACACACACAGAGATTCCTTTGTCTGAGATAACGATCAAAGCTCGATAGCAGGGATCTCAGGCTTGTGGGTTCATATTCTTGTCTGTTTGTTTAACTTACTCCAGTAGGCGACTATGTTTGTCGTAAAAGGCTACTGACGGGATCGGGCGGTCAGGCTCGCTGACTTGGTTGATGCATGTCATCGATCCCAATTGCGTGGATCGATGCTCATGATCTCAATCACTGGATTGTCTGGTCCAGACTCGATTATTTTACAGACCGCAGTCATATAGCTGGAATATTGCAGAGTGCGGCGTTAAACAACAAACAAACAAACAAAAAACAAAACTTTACAAAGAAAAACATTCAGTTCTTGAGTTGGGATGGTTTCAAGTTCACGGAAATCCTTTTCAAAAGTGGTCTTTTAATTTTCTTAGATTTGTGTCATATTTTGTTTTGATCGATGTATTGATCGTCAGACCTTTATCGAAATCTTTGGGTTCTCGTTTAGGTCCATCAAAAAATCGTCATTTAAGATATCGTCAATCACATTTTGTTGTTGATCTACACCAGATTCGTTATTGTCATACGTCATTGATGCTGTCTCTGGCACAATTGTAAAATTAATCGAAAACGGGACACTTGGATGATTGTTCTGGCTTCGTCCGATTCGCGAAGTCACAGACCGATCCTAATAACGGTTGCATAACTTTGAGAACTCTTCCCTTTGTTTTCCAATGATTTTTCATAAAAGAGATGACATGAATAGGCGAAAGTGTAGCCCTATTTTCGACTGCTACTATCGTCTCCAGTGTAAACAACTCTCACTTAAATATTTGTTTAACAAAATATACAACAAACTCGCAGATATACTAAATGTTACCATGTTTTATCAAGTACTTCAATCCTACTGGTTAGCCAGGATAAGATGAGTTGTGACCTGACAATTAACCCCGTATGACTATGTATGAGGTCCGCCCACTGGCGCGTACCATTGTGAAGAAAGGTCTGCGAAAAGACGTACGATGGATTTGTGCTCGGCTAACAAAGAGTTCTAGTGGCGAGTTCAATAGCACGTAATAGTACGTGCTGATGTGACGTACCCGATGAGTGTGATTACGGTGACAGCAACTTAGCACAGGTAACATCAACTAAGAAGTATCCCTGACAATGAAGAGAAATCGTTGCATCAAAAAGGGTATGCTTTCTTTTACCCCAGAGAACACTACTGAATAGTGTCATGTCATTCCTCCAAGGCTGGAGGCTGCAATAGTTGACTGATTAATCCCACGTACATTCTTTCTCCTTGTAATTTATGAACTTACAGGCAAATTCTCAAGCCTGAGAATGGATGATTTGGCCATGCTTACCTTACTTCGACATGTTTATTTTTTGTAATTAAATTTCCATTCTTTCTCCTTGTAATTAATGAATTTATAGGCAAATTCTCAAGACTCAGAATGGATGATTTGGCCATGCTTACCTTACTTTGACATGTTTATTGTTTGTAATTAAATTCTATCAAACATCTTTTGGAGAATCGGGAGCGTATCAATGCATACACTGCACGTGCATACCCTTTCTACCCTTAACCAACCAAATATATTCACCCAAAATCTGCGCACCGCCTACTTGTCTCAAACGCGTTTTGTGAGTTAGTTCAACTTTTCCTGGCTGGCCAGTAGAATGACAATCCCGGCATCCCGTTAATATGATTGTCAAAGTTATGAATGAAAAAAACTATTTTCGTTAGTTTGTAGTAACATTTTATGAATGAAAAGAAAGTAGTCCGTCATCAGGGTCGCTGGGGTCAAAGATGCTTATTAACCTCACACTCCGTCGCAGTGGTGACTCAGCATAACACCACTGCCACAGGCTAATTTGCGTATCACGTGACCGGACTTTTCTCTTGTTTGTAAACAAACGCGCTTTTTCAGAAATCAGTATAGAACGGACTAATGCAAGTATTTGGGGGCGCTTTACATATTGTTTTGCATAACTGTATAGATATGCTACTACAACTGCGACAGTGAGTTGCATGACAATATATATTTATGCATCAAAGTGACCGTGTCGCTAGCTCTCCGTTGGGCTTCGATGACAGCACGTGGAGCCGTACAACCAATGTAAACATAGGATAACTACGCAAAAACAAGTAGATTTTTACGTATTTGCATACTTTCTCAATAAAAGTTAACCATTCTTTAACATTTGTTTATGAAAATGTGTAGACTTGTCAAACATGAAACGGATGAAAAGCATATGCAATATCTTGAATGGACTGTGAAAGATGTGACGAATCGTCACATGGCGCTGGCCTGTGGCAGAGGTACTATGCTAGCTGGCTGCCGGCCGCATGGAACTCTGGGTAGGAGAGTGTATTAACCTATCAGCTAAAGTGTACTGCACATGAATTGATATTTGCGCTGGTGCACATACGATTTTTATTAAGTCTGTAATATCTAATAAGTTACATTTTTCACATACATGTAGGTTAGAAATAACCGAGTAAATAAAACCGTATGTGCGCTAGAGTAAATATCAATTCACGTACATGAGTGTATTGTCGACGTCATCCGGGCGGCATTGCCGACGTCATTCGAATTTTATTGCGACGAAAGGTCGGAATAACGTCACACGAGAAACGGCGTCATGGATAATACGTCATTCGAAGATAGTGGTTTTCTAAGACGGCGGTCGTGATCAGTGAATTTTTTCTAAAGGGGAGCTTTATTCAGAAATAATGAGTAATAAAGAAATTATTACACTCGCATATGTGCCAGATCTAACTTTAAGGAAACTCGTTTAAGAATTCATGTATTACCCCCGCTCTCGCTGGGAAAATACAAGAATTCTGACACAAATTTCGTAAAATCAGTATGACAAACATGCTTGTATGACAATCGCTATGTTACATGAGTTACGGCTAGAACAGTTAGGTAAAATTTAGGCACTACAAACAGTTCTATCCCATCATGAAACGTACATCACTTGTGTAGATTGAAGGGTTCTATACATTACTTCAGCAATATCGGGTTGGGTGCGCAATGATGTGTTCTGTGAGAAATGTTTTTTAATTGTTAAGCATTTAACCAACATAGAAACGGTATTTAGCTGTGTACAGAATTAACCGGCGTTAAGACTGAATGTTCTGTTTGGCATCTTACCAGCTCTTGTGTTATAGACTTCAGCATTTCTAATGTGTGCATGGGATCCAGAGAGTGATTATCACATAAAATCATAACTGAAATAGGTGATGTGTTTTCAACATTGTTCACTTTAATGAAGACAATTACAAATACGATATTTGGAATGTCTAAGACAGCCTCTGGACAATGTTACTGTGCTCGCTGAGGTGTTTTACACAAAACTAAACATAATGAGTGAGTCCGGCCAGTACAGTAGGAAAATACAACACTCTTGAGACTCACGTGCCTTCTGTACAATATATTATCACTACCATCTTTGTAGATACAAAATTGTAACTTTCCTTCTTTAGATATATTTAGGGGGCACAGGTGGCCCAGTCGTCTAAGGCGCCGCGATTCCCTGTGCAGAGATGCACGCCAGAAACCTATGATTGTGGGTTCGAATCCCTGTTTGGCCCGATTATGTTTCTAGGTTTGTCAGCACCATACCCGTGCTGGTGGGTTTTACCGAAGTGATAAACGTTTGAGACCTGCATCACTTCGGACTCTCCTCCCACATTTAGCTGACACGCCGTGATATAACTGGAATACTGTTAAAAGTGGCGTTAAACCCAACTCACTCACACGATATATTTAGTAGTGTATACATTCTATTGAAGAGATACAGAATAATGAACATCGATATATCTTGACACCAAAGCGCCTAGTCAATCCCCTAAACGTCAATCTCACAGAGAGCATGTAACTTCCCCTTTACGGCATAGGCACCCCATACGCCAGAAAAAAACATCTTGCCATAAATCTGACCAGTTGCATTCTCCATTGCGGGATTCCAGTTGGTGTAGAGCCCAAGATACTGTCCGTTTGTCCAGCGCCAAGCAACATCGATGTTAGCACGTTCGAGACCGATCCACACAGTTCTGTCTGTAGACATTAAAAAAGTCGTGCTGTGAATTTGTGATTTAATGCCCATATTGTGTTGTACATATAAAGCAACATGCATGAAATCCAGGCCATGATAACAGGTTACCATTGAATGAAGTGAATTATCGCGAATCGCTCACCTTAGTAATCGTTCACCAATACCACAAAGAAAAATAATGCCAGAAGAATTTGTTTTTCGCCACACTCAGCAACATCATAACGAACCTGGGCTGCTTTGTAAATACATTTGTGACACATGTAGATTAACATGACGTGACATAATAAGTCAAAACATGAGTACGTGTCACGAGGGTATTGACAACCATTCTCTGTGAGAGAAAAACAACGTGCCTTAGGATTGTCCCATTGAGTCCCGTCTGTATATTACATATATCAGGGGGGCGGTGGCGTAGCCTGTTGGTTAAAGCGTTCGCTCGACACGTCAAATACCTGGGTTCGATTCCCGACATGGGTACAATGTGTGAAGCCCATTTCTGGTGTCCCCCGCCGTGATATTGCTGGAATATTGCTAAAATGGGGGTAAAACCATACTCACTCACTGACATATATCAGGTGATATTAAGAGTTGCACTTACCGTTTGCAACAATGGAAGCTTGTTTGTTGTCCTCCTCAGATCTTATGAAGGCGAGATGTCCTGAGTTCTCCATACACAGTTTCTTGGCGTCTGGAAAACGCATGCTTGAAGATGTATGCCCCCTGAGACACTGGTTTGTGAAACGACTGTAGATGTAGGTGGCGGGACAAGCACCTGGAAGAAGACAGTTGTACGTTTTAACTTCGCAAGACATATTAGAATTCGGTATGTTCTTTTAAACTTGTTTTTAGTCTAGACTTGATAAACAATCTTGGAAAGTGTGCTGTATTGAAAAGTGCAGGTTCTGTTCATGAGAGTCATGATCTAAAATCAGGATTACATCTGAACTCTAAAAATCATTTTAATTAGCCTCTTTGTGTATGAGGAGATAAGGCTTTAAATTTTCCAAAACTGAAGAAGACGTTTTCAAATTTTTTTTAGAATAATAGAATTGTGTTTATTTATAAGACGATTCTCAAATATTTTCAATGTTACATTATTCTATTTAAATTTTACTGGCATGAACAAATCTGAAACCAAAGCTGCTGCAAATCATATCAATGTCTAACATTCCTGAACCTTGCAGTTTTTTCGCAGAAAATGAAGCTGGATCTTTTCACAAAGTGTCAGTATTATTTCTTCAGCGGGTGTGCAAGTGAAGACGTTAACTTACGGACAGATTGAAGGAAAGAGGACGGATAACGCACTTAAACCTTTTGTATATTTGACAGAATGCATCTGTGGGAGGTCACTTATACTTGTCGTATATCTGATGAAGTGTTGCTAAGTTGAATCATAATCTACAATTGATTAAATATGGTCAGAAATACCCTTTTTATTTTTATAGATATACTAAATCAAGCGTGTTTATGTCTCGTATCCAGAAGGTTACAACAACCACCCGTCATCCTGTATCAACAGGGCGTTGCAGAGGCTATATTTGACATTAGGTAAACATGCTAGAAAGTGTTTTTGATGAAAGAGATAATGACATTAAAACTTTAAAACGTCTAATTAAAGATTCAGTCCATTTTCAATGGCAGGAAAGGGAGAAATTAGAGGTAGAAATGAAATGAGTTATTAAAAAAGTACTTTCAGTGACGCAGTTTAGCTTCATCTTCTTCCAAGTTTGATGTGTACGTTTCAGTAGAAAATGTTAACAATTGTGAAGTAAAAGAATACAATTTTGGATGATAACACACTTACTGTTTCTCAGGGAATAGTATTGAACACCACTCCGACCCTGGAGCCGGTGACTTGCACCGTACACATACTTCTCCAGGTAGCAATCATGAGTGTTGACGTCATAAAAGAATGAGGAGCAGTTTGGATGGTTTACACAGGCTTGTGCGCATCCTTCTTTGACGGTTACACGAGGCAAGAATGGGCCAATGTTAGCCACGATGTACCCAGTGAAGAACAAGGAGAATGTGAACATGGCGGTGTCCTGTGCAGCAACGACTTAAGGTTCTCATATGCTGTGGCCTAAGTAAGTACGTCACACAGCTTGATATTGACTATATTTGTGTTTCCATTAACGAGATAAATGCCGTTTTCGCTGAGAGTCCATTTAACTTCATGTCGGAAATAGGATGTGTGCACAGGGTTTTGAAAGAAAACATCAGGCAAGTGAAAAATAGATGTCTCAATTGATCAAGAGTTAAGTGTATTTTTTATTGTTATATATTATCCAGGCAACATGACAGCCTCCATTTTTTTACCTTTTTATATCAACAAACCATATCAACTTTCAGCAATAGTTAATGAGCTTGAAATGACTTAGGACCGTCATCAATAGCTTATAAGTGTGCTTATACTGGATCAATTGGTTTTTTTGTTGATAATGGAGATGGGTTATGCTCAGGCGTTGACGTTTTTTAAATTAACTTGAACCGGGTCGATGTTTCTATTGGTGTGTGTGGGGTTGGGTGGTGGTGTGCGTGTGTGTGTGTGTGTGTGGTGGGGGGCATGTTATTATTTCAGGGTCCAGTCACATTTCAAATTCTACATATGGACAGAATGTTGTAATTGTCTCTCTATTCACTTAAACATAACAACTGCACAGATGAATGTGATTTTAAAACAATCCATGGATTTAATCGGAAACAAATTGATTGTTAAAGGAATGGGGCGTGGCGGGTCATAGGATTCTCTCCAAATGGATGAGGTTAAAATGTAAATATATACTCCTCAAAAGAAATAAAAGAACACCCGATTCTTTCACATGACGATGGTTAATCTGTCCCAGCTGGTAGGTGTTGTAAAATACAGTCTTCAAATGTGTGTGCGTGCGTGCGTGCGTGCGTGCGTGTGTTTCCATCTGTCTGTGTATGTATGTATGTAGTAGATATTTACACATCTCAAATCAGAACAACCAGACAGTTTAATAAACAAAAAGACTAGTAAAAAAGCTAGTAACTCCCATCAAATGGGCAATTGGGTTCAACAACAAATCGGAAATTATCCGTAGACTTTCTATGGAGTTTTTGCATAATCACGTAAAAGTGGGAGACTTTTCCCTTGTAGTATGTGTGATTCTTGCTATTGTACATGCAAGACATGAATTTATGCAAACTAGATAGCATTCTGTATCTATATCTGAGAAATATATCTACTACAAAAAGTTGAAACTTTCTGGGACAAAAGGCAACACACCTGTGAAAGTTATAGGAGTGGATCACTGAATACCAGCAAATCTTTTTAATGGACGGCATTATGGCCATTATCGCTCAATCGCTTTCTCGTATATTTTTTATCGCTTTCTCGTCTGGTGCTATCGCTTTCTGGTCAGGTGCTATCGCTTTCTGGTCAGGTGCTATCGCATTCTCGTCTGGTGCTATCGCTTTCTCATCTCGTGTTCTCGCTTTATCGCGGCCGTGATTAAAGGCGATAAAGCAATGTCCCCTCTAGGCCACCATACCCTTTCTATATTCATCAGAAACATCTGTCAAAAGCAGAGGCGATTTTACGATTCCAACTATAATCAAGATCATGTGTCTTTCTATCGGTATTAAATATGATGACACTAGGCGTTGGCATAAAGGTGAGCATATCCTGTCCCACCGGTGGCACCCGTCACAAACACGTGCACAGGCAAGTCAACTGACCGCCTGAAAAACAAAGGAACAAAACAAATCCTGCAGATGTCAACCATACAACGTTTTGACAGCTTTATAGAGGCCTTAAATTGTGAAACCTGGGTCAAACTAATTTTTGATAAGAGTCGTTTGACACTCCCTGAGATCTTAGATAGATCAGCAAGAAGCAGAGCACAATTGGTTCCCACGAGGATGCCTACTTCTTGCCTATATGTCTTGCACCAAGATTTTACAGAGATGTTATCAGCTTGTTTTCTCAGTAAACATAAGATGACATTAGTTTTTGGATATGTTGTCTTGATCATTGAAGATAGATGGCGCAAATGCAAACAAATCCTTTGAGTGTTTAAGAATCCACATGGTATTAATTACACTTACCTTCTGTGAATATTGACAGAGCCGTAATTATTACCCATATAATTTATATATATTGGCTACTCTCTCACAACTTCGGTCAGGAGGTCTCCAATTTACACTGAATTTAAACTGAATGCCCAGAGTATTTCAGGGAGATGAAACAGCCTAGTGGAGTCACAAAGTGTGAAACCTTTTCATTGGATCCACGAGATACGGATGGAATAGTTTAAAAAAGCCGAATTTACCCTACCTCACTCACAAGCAAAGTTGTTTCTGTGTGGAGACACAAAATTCTACCCTTACCGTTATCAATGTTCTCGTGTGTGAACTAGATGTCAGGCGTGTCCCAATTGTTATGCTTCTTACCAACACAGAAAACGAATTTAGATGTGTACAGAAGTTTGACCTCTTACTAGCTCTTGTGTGTTATTGAACGCATTGTTGTGTGCATAAGATCGAGAGAGTAATCTTCACACCAAAACATAACTGGAATACTAATACTTGTTTGACATTGTTGACTTTATTCACGACAAATACAGACACTGTGTTTGGAAAGCTAAAGGTAGCCTCTGAACAGTGTTAAGGTGGTTGTTGTAAGTGTTTTGCACAATACTGAACATAATGGGTACATGACTCGTTATCACGCTTTCTGTGCTATATATATCACTACCCTGTTTGTAGAAACAGAATTGTAACGCTCCATCTTCAGACATGGTTGGTAGTTGATATATTATATTCAATACATACATAATACATGAGCATCTATATGCACCAAGGTGCATCGTCATTCACCTCAACGTCAATCTCACAGAGAGCATTTAACTTCCCATTTACGCCATAGGCACCCCATAAGCCAGAAACAAACATCTTGCCATAAATCTGATCAGTTGCATTCTCCATTGCGGGATTCCAGTTGCTGTAGGACCAAAGGGCCTGTCCGTTTGTCCAGCGCCAAGCAACATCGATGTTAGCGCGCTCCAGACCGATCCATACAGTTCTGTCTGTAGACATAAAAAAGTCGTGCTGTGAATTTGTGATTTAATGCCCATATTGTGTTGTACATATAAAGCAGCATGCATGAAATCCATGCCATGATACCAGGTAACCATTGAATGAATTAATGCAAATCGCTCACCTTAGTAATCGTACACTCATACCACAAAATAATGTAAGATTTTGTTTTTCGTCACAGTCCGCAACATCATAACGAACAAGGGCTGCTTGGTAATTACATTTGTGACACACGTGCACCTTGTAGATTAACATGACGTGACATAATAAGTCAAAACATGAGCACGTGTCACGAGGGTATTGACAACCATTCTCTGTGAGAGAAAAACAAAGTGCCTCAGGATTGTCACATTGAGTCCCGTATGTATTTAAATATCAGCGCACAGAGCACTCATGCACAGGGAATGCTGCGCTATACAACTGAATATATTATTATCATCATTACTTACAGATTAAACTTTTTTTAAATGCAGCAAAGAGGGTTCGGGTGATCCTGGCACGGTCAGGCAGGTTTGGCTCGTCATCAGCTCAGGGCCCTTGCCCCCTCTACACGCAGCCCAGACAGCGAATGGGACTTCTCCCAGCGTTGTGTTTTCAAACCCACCCAGAACTTTTCGGAGAATGTGAAGACTCCCCAACACTACAGCCTTCTGCATTACCCAGATTGTCAGAAGGGCTGTATTCCTGGTAGCAAACCCGGGTACTCTCCCAATGTAAGTCAACAGATTGGGAGGTACCAAACCTAAGGCCCCGAGAACAATGGGGAGTCGGGCAACGTGGTGATGCAAGCGTGACATTTCGAAAGCGAGGTCCACATATTTGCCATGTTTTTCCTCAATCTTGTCAATCACATTAGTGTCAAATGGGACAGAATTCAAGTCAATAATATAAATGATTTCATTGGATATATCAAAAAGGACAAGAGCTGGGTTTTGACCTGGATACGTCTGAGACTGTAAATCGGCCTATTCCAAAGAATTTTGTATTTATCATTTTCCATGACGCCTTCTACATATTCCGGGTCGTACCATGGGCGGACCTCTGTGTCAAAACCACAAGCATGGCGAAGACGGTAATAAAATGATCGAACAACTCCATCATGTCGTTTAAGATACTGTGTTTGTGCCAAACCTGGGCATCCACCAAGAATGTGGCAGTCTCATTAAAATCATTACTTAATCTACATTTCATATTTACATTTTGATGCAAAATCACACATTGACGGTTTCGAGTAGGAAGTGACTGGTCCTGAGCAGCAAACAGAAGGCCTTCTGTTTCACTTTTCATGCCAGACGACTTCATCCAAGCAAAGGACTCTGCAGGATTGCTGATCTTCTCAACACAGTGCACATTAACTCGATGCAGTGGTCGTGATAGCCTCTCCTTGAGTCCTTGATATGGCACTTCGCTTAGTGGACAATCATTTCTGTACCGTCCAGCAGAACAGAATCATCAACAAAATCAACACCGACATTGAGATCAGGTGATATTAAGAGTTGCACTTACCGTTTGCAACAATGGAAGCTTGTTTGTTGTCCTCCTCAGATCTTATGAAGGCGAGATGTCCTGAGTTCTCCATACACAGTTTCTTGGCGTCTGGAAAACGCATGCTTGAAGATGTATGCCCTCTGAGACACTGGTTTGTGAAACGACTGTAGATGTAGGTGGCGGGACAAGCATCTGGAAGAAGACAGTTGGCACTGGCTGACTGTATATCGGGGAAACCCCATATAGTTTATAAACGCTAGATTAATAAGTTTCATTCATTTAAGTAAGGCACAGATGTGTATTTTAGACGCATTTTAGACACACAATGCAAAACGAACAGATTGTTACGAATGGTATGTTTCATTTATTGAATGGCTGGACGGCAATACGAGTTAACAAAGTCCAGACATTTAATACTGATTATCATGGGTCTGTCATTTGCGTGTGCGCCAGATGCCTGAAACGATGAAAATCCTTTATTGGAACATAAATGTACGTTTTAACTTCGCAAGACATATTAGAATTCGGTTTGTTCTTTTAAACTTGTTTTAGTCTAGACTTGATAAACAATCTTGGAAAGTGTGCTGTATTGAAAAGTACAGGTTCTGTTCATGAGAATCATGATCTAATAATCAGGATTACATCTGAACTCTTAAAATCATTTTGATGAGCCTCTTTGTGTCTGAGGAGATAATGCTTTAAATTTTCCAAAATTGAAGAAAACGTCTTCATTTTTTGCTAAAAATGATAGAATTGTTGTTTCTTATAATAAGACGATTCTTAAATATTTTCAAAGTTACATTATTCTTTTTAAATTTTACTGGCATGAATAAATCTGAAACCAAAGCTGCTGCAGATCACCATATCAATGGCTAACATTCCTGGACCTTCCGGTTTCTTGGCAGGATATTTTCACAAAGTGTCGCTAATATTTCTTCAGCAGGAGTGCAAGTGAAGACGTTAACTAACGGACGGATTGAAGGAGAGAGGACGGATAACACACTTAAACCTTTTGCATATTTGACAGAACGCATCTGTTGGAGGTCACTAAAACTTGTCGTATATCTGATGAAGTGTTGCTAAGTTGAATCATAAGCTACAATTGATGAAATATGGTCAGACATACTTATTTTTTATTTCTATAGAGAAATTAAATCAAGCGTGTTTATGTCTCGTATCCAGAAGGTTACAACAACCACCCGTCATCCTGTATCAACAGGGCGTTGCAAAGGCTACTTCGGGCATTAAGAAAACATGCTAGACAGTGTTGTTGATGAACGCGATAATGACAATAGAAGTTTAAAAAGTCATATTAAAGCTTCAGTCCATTTTCAATGGTTTAAAAAAACAACCTCCATGTATCTTTCCCTTGTTGATTAAGACCAACATAGACTACAGGTGTTCATTCAGATACTGCGTTTCAAGGCCACGTGAAGAAGACAGGGAGAAATGAGAGGTAGAAATGAAATGAGTTATTAAAAAAGTACTTTCAGTGACGTAGTTTAGCTTCACCTTTTTTCCAACAGTTTGATGTTTACGTTTCAGTAGAAAATGTTAACAATTGTGAAGTAAAAGAATACAATTTTGGAAGATAACACACTTACTGTTTCTCAGAGAATAGTATAGAATACCACTCCGACCCTGGAGTTGGTGACTTGCACCGTACACAAACTTCTCCAGGTAGCACTCATGAGTGTTGACGTCATAAAAGAATGAGGAGCAGTTTGGATGGTTTACACAGGCTTGTGCGCATCCTTCTTTGAGGGTGACACCAGGCAAGAATGGGCCAATGTTAGCCACGATGTACCCAATGAAGAACAAGGAGAATGTGAACATGGCGGTGTCCTGTGCAGCAACGACTTAAGGTTCTCATATGCTGTGGCCTAAGTAGTAAAGTACGTCACACAGCTTGATATTGACTATATTTGTGTTTCCATTAACGAGATAAATGCCGTTTTCGCTGAGAGTCCATTTAACTTCATGTCGGAAATAGGATGTGTGCACAGGGTTTTGAAAGAAAACATCAGGCAAGTGAAAAATAGATGTCTCAATTGATCAAGAGTTACATGTATTTTTTATTGTTATATATTATCCAGGCAACATGACAGCCTCCATGTTTTTACCTTTTTATATCAACAAACCATATCAACTTTCAGCAATAGTTAATGAGCTTGAAATGACTTAGGACCGTCATAAATAGCTTATAAATGTGCTTATACTGGATCAATTTTTTGTTGTTGTTGATAATGGAGATGGGTTATGCTCAGGCGTTGACGTTTTTTAAATTAACTTGAACCGGGTCGATGTTTCTATTGGTGTGTGTGGGGTTGGGTGGTGGTGTGCGTGTGTGTGTGTGTGTGTGGTGGGGGGCATGTTATTATTTCAGGGTCTGGGGTGTTTTTTCTTTCTGACTTTCCAGTCACATTTCAAATTCTACATATGGACAGAATGTTGTAATTGTCTCTCTATTCACTGAAACATAACAACTGCACGGAGGAATGTGATTTTAAAACAATCCATGGATTTAATCGAAAACAAATTCATTGTTAAAGGAATGGCGCGTGGCGGGTCATGGGATTCTCTCCAAATAGATCTGTCCCAATTGGTAGGTGTGGTAAAATACAGTCTTCAAATGTGTGTGTGTGTGTGTTTCCATCTGTCTGTGTATGTATGTAGTAGATATTTACACATCTCAAATCAGAACAACCAGACAGTTTAATAAACAAAAAAACTAGTAAAAAAACTAGTAACTCCCATTAAATGGGCAATTGGGTTCAACAACAAATCGGAAATTATCCGTAGACTTTCTATGGAGTTTTTGCATAATCACGTAAAAGTGGAAGACTTTTCCCTTGTAGTATGTGTGATTCTTGCTATTGTACTGCAATACAACAAAGTAAAGACATGAGAAACTAGATAGTATTCTGTATCTATGTCTGAGAAATATATCTACTACAAAAAGTTGAAACTTTCTGGGACAAAAGGCAACATACCTGTGAAAATTATAGGAGAGGATCACTGAATACCAGCAAATCTTTTTGATGGACGGCATTATGGGCATTATCGCTCCATCGCTTTCTCGTATCTTTCTATCGCTTTCTCGTCTGATGCTATCGCTTTCTCGTCTAGTGCTATCCCTTCCTCGTCCGGTGCTATCACTTTCTCATCTCATGTTGTCACTGTTTTTGTCTCGTGATAACGCTTTTTCGTTTCATGTTCTCGCTTTCTCGCTTTATCGCGGCCTTGATTAAAGGCGATAAAGCGGTGTCCCCTCTAGGCCGCCATGCCCTTTCCATATTCATCATAAACATCTGTGAAACGCAGAGGCGATTTTACGATTCCGACTATATCAAGATCATGTACCATCTATCAGTATTAAATATGATGACACTAGGCATTGGCATAAAGTCAACTGACCGCCTGAAAAACAAAGGAACAAAAAAAATCCTGCAGATGTCAACCATGCAACGTTTTGAAAGCTTTATAGAGGCCTTAAATTGTGAAACCTTGATCAAACTAATTTTGAACAAGAGTCGTTTGACACTCCCTGAGATCTTAGATAGATCAGCAAGAAGCAGAGCACAACTGGTTCCCACGAGGATGCCTACTGCTTGCCTATATGTCTTGCACCAAGATTTTACATAGATGTTATCAGCTTGTTTTCTCAGTAAACATAAGATGACATTAGTTTTTCGATAGGTTGTCCTGATCATTGAAGATAGATGGCGCAAATGCAAACAAATCCTTTGAGTGTTTAAGAATCCACATGGTATTAATTACACTTACCTTCTGTGAATATTGACAGAGCCGTTCCTTGATTGCATTATGGATTATTGTTAATGCGGGAGACACGGTTCTCTTTTTGTACAGACTTCTCTGAACTTTAGAAATCCAGGCCAAGCGCTGATAGTACTGATGCGTAGTTTCATCGATTTCCTTTCTCAGTTACATTCTGGCCATATATGTGACATGACCAGATTTGTCACTTTTACCAAGTTCTATGATCAAACAATAATGTTGTGTTGCGAACATGTAATGTTCTTGTTATTTGAAGCCTTGTTAGTAACTACACGCAGCTACAAACTTACATGTATCATTTAGTTTATTCCAATTCCGTTTCCTATTTTTCAGTTTGTGTATTCTACCAATGAAAACAGCATGCGCTGACACACTCAGAAATACATTGGCCAACAGGTTGGGGGCACTTTAATTGGTCTTGGTAGGAATATATAGTGGTAACACCATGAGAAGCCTCTGCGCTGATTACATTGCTACGTATAGGGGTGTTGTCTCAATAGAAACACAGCTGAAGATCCACGCCTAATATAGTTGGGTTCAGCCAGTCAGAAAGCTCCAGATGATGTTAAGGCATCACACGTGCACTAAGATGTTATGTCAAGCCACACACACGTCAGGCAACGGGCATCCATGTTGTCCTAGGACCCTGTAGAAACTCTTAAGGCATGGCTTCTTGAGGCATGGTATCAGTTTTGCAATCTATTAAAGCCAGGGAATCCAGGGTCCACCTGCACAGAACAAACTTAGCGCTACAATTATTGTAAATCCTTACAATCGCGATCTTAGGCTTCGGCTACAATCACCATCCTCTTGCACAAAGCAGTTGTAGGCTGAGAACATTGTAAGCTACAATCGAAATTTACAATTGGTCAGGACCAATCTTTACTCACTAAGATCGTTGTCGTTCCTGAATAAACTTGACTAAATGGCGTGCTAGATATGGTCTGTTTGACACAAATGATCTTCTTTACGTTCAAATATTGCCTCATTATTTTGTTAAACTGTATGATTCGAATCGACACTTCAACAAAACGAAGAATGCACCACAGATTAACGAAAGAAATACCGTTTATTACGATAGTGAACCACATAACTATTGAGTCGATTGCTAAAAGTATCAATCTCAACTGACTCAATGCTGAAAGAAGTGTGAAACAACTAATCAAGTGATGGATAAAAACGTAAGTTGTCTGCAAGCGATTACTAACGCCCGTGACCTTTGGATACCTCAAGGGCAGGTAATCTTAGTTAATACTCTACGTTGGAGTGGTTTCCCTTTGTATACGCCGTATTAGTTGAAGAGCAAAACATACCTTTCTATGTCTAAAATCGAGTGGGACGAGGGACGAACGGTTATAATATATGATTTTTTTTAAACATACTATTCACCAAACAAGAAATGCATTTGTTAAGACATTTAAATCCTGTGTAAAATAACATTTAAGTAGCACAATTAAAATTCACAAAAAAAGATAAATGTAATTATTACCCATATATATATATATATATTGGCTACTCTCTCACAACTTCGGCCAGGAGGTCTTCAATTTACACTGAATTTATACTGAATGCCCAGGGAGTATTTCAGGGAGATGAAACAGCCTAGTGGAGTCACACTCCAGGCCCTGATTTGATTCCCCACGTTGGCACAAAGTGTGAAGCCTTTTCATTCGATCCACGAGATACGGATGGAATAGTTTTAAAAAGCGGAATTTACCCTACCTCACTCACAAGCAAAGTTGTTTCTGTGTGGAGACACCAAATTTTACCCTTACCGTTATCAATGTTCTCGTGTGTGAACAAGATGTCAGGCGTTCCCTATATGTGTTAGAGGTCTAACTGTATATAAGTGACAGTAACATGTACTACGGTTTGAACATTTAGGTCAACTTCAGGTACTACAAACAATTCTATCCCATTATCAGGAAACCTACATCACTTTTGTACTTGGGTTCTATTCGCTGTTGGGTTCTATACATTGCTACAGCAACATCGGGTTAGGTACGCTGTGGTGTGTTCTGTGAGAAATGTTTTTTTCAATTGTTATGCTTCTTACCAACACAGAAAACGAATTTAGATGCGAACAGAATTAACCTTCGTAAGACTGGATATTCTGTTTGACCTCTTACTAGCTCTAGTGTGTTATTGAACGCATTGTTGTGTGCATAAGATCGAGAGAGTAATCTTCACACCAAAACATAACTGGAATACTAGTACTTGTTTGACATTGTTGACTTTATTCACGACAAATACAGACACTGTGTTTGGAAAGCTAAAGGTAGCCTCTGAACAGTGTTAAGGTGGTTGTTGTAAGTGTTTTGCACAATACTGAACATAATGGGTACGAGACTCGTTATCACGCTTTCTGTGCTATATAATATATCACTACCCTGTTTGTAGAAACAGAATTGTAACGCTCCATCTTCAGACATGGTTGGTAGTTGATATATTATATTCAATACATACATAATACATGAGCATCTATATGCACCAAGGTGCATCGTCATTCACCTCAACGTCAATCTCACAGAGAGCATGTAACTTCCCAATAATTCCATAGGCACCCCATATGCCAGAAACAAACATCCTGCCATAAATCTGATCAGTTGCATTCTCCATTTCGGGATTCCAGTTGCTGTATGACCAAAGGGCCTGTCCGTTTGTCCAGCGCCAAGCAACATGGATGTTAGCGCGCTCCAGACCGATCCATACAGTTCTGTCTGTAGACATAAAAAAACAGTCGTGCTGTGAATTTGTGATTTAATGCCCATATTGTGTTGTACATATAAAGCAACATGCATGAAATCCATGTCATGGTACCAGGTAACAATTGAATGAAGTGAATTATCGCAAATCGCTCACCTTAGTAATCGTACACTCATACCAGATAGAAACATAATGTAAGATTTTGTTTTTCGCCACAGTCAGCAACGTCATAATGAACAAGGTCTACTTGGTAATTACATTTGTGACACACGTGCACCTTGTAGATTAACATGACGTGACATAATAAGTCAAAACATGAGCACGTGTCACGAGGGTATTGACAACCATTCTCTGTGACAGAAAAACAAAGTGCCTCAGGATTGTCCCATTGAGTCCCGTATGTATATTCCATGTCAGCGCACAGAGCACTTATGCACAGGGAATGCTGCACTATACAACTGCATATATTATTATCATTATTACTTACAGATTACAATTTGTAAAAATGCAGCAAAGAGGGTTTGGGTGATGTTGGCACAGTCAGGCAGGTTAGGCTCGTCATCAGCTCAGGGCCCTTGCCCCCTCTACACGCAGCCCAGACAGCGAATGGGACTTCTCCCAGCGTTGTGTTGTCAAACCCACCCAAAACTTTTCGGAGAATGTGAAGACTCCCCAACACTACAGCCTTCTGTATTACCAAGATTGTCAGAAGGCCTGTATTCCTGGTAGCAAACCCGAGTACTCTCCCAATGTAAGTCAACAGATTGGGAGGTACCAAACCTAAGGCACCGAGAACAATGGAGAGTCCGGCAACGTGGTACTTCGGATGCAAGCGTGACATTTCGAAAGCGAGGTCCGCATATTTGCCAAGTTTTTCCTCAATCCTGTCAATCCCATTAGTGTCAAAGGGACAGAAAATTCAATGATATATATGATTTCATTGGATTTATCAAAAAGGACAAGAGCAGGTTTTTGACCTGGATACGTCTGAGACTGTAAATCGGCCTATTCCAAAGAATTTTGTATTTATCATTTTCCATGACGCCTTCTACATATTCCGGGTCGTACCATGGGCGGACCTCTGTGTCAAAACCACAAGCATGGCGAAGACGGTAATAAAATGATCGAGCTACACCATCATGTCGTTTAAGATACTGTGTTTGTGCCAAAGCTGGGCATCCACTGACAATGTGTTGGACAGTCTCATTAAAATCATTACTTAATCTACATTTCATATTTACATTTTGATGCAAAATCACACATTGACGGTTTCGAGTAGGAAGTGACTGGTCCTGAGCAGCAAACAGAAAGCCTTCTGTTTGATTTTTCAGGCCAGACGACTTCATCAAAGTGATCTTCTCAACACAGTGCACATTATCTCGATGCAGTGGTCGTGATAGCCTCTCCTTGAGTCTGGGCCGACTTGATATGGCACTTCGCTTAGTGGACAATCATTTCTGTACCGTCCAGCAGAACAGAATCATGAACAAAATCAACACCGACATTGAGATCAGGTGATATTAAGAGTTGCACTTACCGTTTGCAACAATGGAAGCTTGTTTGTTGTCCTCCTCAGATCTTATGAAGGCGAGATGTCCTGAGTTCTCCATACACAGTTTCTTGGCGTCTGGAAAACGCATGCTTGAAGATGTATGCCCCCTGAGACACTGGTTTGTGAAACGACTGTAGATGTAGGTGGCGGGACAAGCATCTGGAAGAAGACAGTTGGCACTGGCTGACTGTATATCGAGGAAACCCCATATAGTTTATAAACGCTAGATTAATAAGTTTCATTCATTTAAGTAAGGCACAGATGTGTATTTTAGACGCATTTTAGAAACACAATGCAAAACGAACATATTGTTACGAATGGTATGTTTCATTTATTGAATGGCTGGACGGCAATACGAGTTAACAAAGTCCAGACATTTAATACTGATTATCATGGGTCTGTCATTTGCGTGTGCGCCAGATGCCTGAAACGATGAAAATCCTTTATTGGAACATAAATGTACGTTTTAACTTCGCAAGACATATTAGAATTCGGTTTGTTCTTTTAAACTTGTTTTAGTCTAGACTTGATAAACAATCTTGGAAAGTGTGCTGTATTGAAAAGTACAGGATCTGTTCATGAGAATCGTGATCTAATAATCAGGATTACATCTGAACTCTTAAAATCATTTTGATGAGCCTCTTTGTGTCTGAGGAGATAATGCTTTAAATTTTCCAAAATTGAAGAAAACGTCTTCATTTTTTGCTAAAAATGATAGAATTGTTGTTTCTTATAATAAGACGATTCTTAAATATTTTCTAAGTTACATTATTCTATTTGAATTTTACTGGCATGAACAAATCTGAAACCAAAGCTGCTGCAGATCACCATATCAATGGCTAACATTCCTGGACCTTCTGGTTTCTTGGCAGGATATTTTCACAAAGTGTCGCTAATATTTCTTCAGCAGGACTGCAAGGGAAGACGTTAACTAACGGACGGATTGAAGGAGAGAGGACGGATAACACACTTAAACCTTTTGCATATTTGACAGAACGCATCTGTGGGAGGTCACTAAAACTTGTCGTATATCTGATGAAGTGTTGCTAAGTTGAATCATAAGCTACAAATGATTAAATATGGTCAGAAATACTTATTTTTTATTTCTATAGAGAAATTAAATCAAGCGTGTTTATGTCTCGTATCCAGAAGGTTACAACAACCACCCGTCATCCTGTATCAACAGGGCGTTGCAAAGGCTACTTCGGGCATTAAGAAAACATGCTAGACAGTGTTGTTGATGAACGCGATAATGACAATAGAAGTTTAAAAAGTCATATTAAAGCTTCAGTCCATTTTCAATGGTTTGAAAAATACCCTCCATGTATCTTTCCCTTGTTGATTAAGACCAACATAGACCACAGGTGTTCATTCAGATACTGCGTTTCAAGGCCACGTGAAGAGGACAGGGAGAAATGAGAGGTAGAAATGAAATGAGTTATTAAAAAAGTACTTTCAGTGACGTAGTTTAGCTTCACCTTTTTTCCAACAGTTTGATGTGTACGTTTCAGTAGAAAATGTTAACAATTGTGAAGTAAAAGAATACAATTTTGGAAGATAACACACTTACTGTTCCTCAGAGAATAGTATTGAACACCACTCCGACCCTCGAGCTGGTGACTTGCAACGTACACATACTTCTCCAGGTAGCACTCATGAGTGTTGACGTCATAAAAGAATGAGGAGCAGTTTGGATGGTTTCCACAGGCGTGTGCGCATCCTTCTTTGAGGGTGACACCAGGCAAGAATGGGCCAATGTTAGCCACGATGTACCCAGTGAAGAACAAGGAGAATGTCAACATGGCGGTGTCCTGTGCAGCAACGACTTAGGGTTCTCATATGCTTTGGCCTAACTAGTAAAGTACGTCACACAGCTTGATATTGACTATATTTGTGTTTCCATTAACGAGATAAATGCCGTTTTCGCTGAGAGTCCATTTAACTTCATGTCGGAAATAGGATGTGTGCACAGGGTTTTGAAAGCAAACATCAGGCAATGTGAAAAATAGATGTCTCAACTGATCAAGAGTTAAAAATATAAGTGTATCTTTTATTGTTATATATTATCCAGGCAACATGGCAGCCTTCATGTTTTTACCTTTTTATATCTACAAACCATATCAACTTTCAGCAATAGTTAATGAGCTACTGGATCAATTGCTTTTTTGTTGATAATGGAGATGGGTTATGCTCAGGCGTTGACGTTTTTTAAATTTACAGGGTCGATGTTTCTATTGGTGGTGTATGTGTGTGGGGGTGGGGGGTGGGGGGGGGTGGGGGTCATGTTATTATTTCAGGGTCTGGGGTGCTTTTCTTTCTGATTTTCCAGTCACATTTCAAATTCTACATATGGACAGAATGTTGTAATTGTCTCTCTATTCACTTAAACATAACAACTGCACAGATGAATGTGGTTTTAAAACAATCCATGGATTTAATCGAAAAGAAATTGATTGTTAAAGGAATGGCGCGTGGCGGGTCATGGGATTCTCTCGAAATAGATGAGGTTAAAATGTAAATATATACTCCTCAAAAGAAATAAAAGAACACCCGATTCTTTCACATGACGATGGTTAATCTGTCCCAGCTGGTAGGTGTTGCAAAATAAAGTCTTCCAATGTGTGTGTGTGTGTGTGTATGTGTGTGTGTGTGTGTGTGTGTGTGTGTGTGTGTGCGTGTGCGTGCGTGGGTGTGTTTCCATCGACTGTGTGTGTATGTATGTATGTAGTAGATATTTACACATCTCAAATCAGATCAACCAGACAGTTTAATAAACAAAAAGACTAGTAAAAAAGCTAGTAACTCCCATCAAATGGGCAACTGGGTTCAACAACAAATCGCAAATTATCCGTAGACTTTCTATGGAGTTTTTGTATAATCACATAAAAGTGGAAGACTTTTTTCCTTGTAGTATGTGTGATTCTTGCTATTGTACTGCAATACAACAACGTAAAGACGTGAATTTATGCAAACTAGATAGCATTCTGTATCTACATCTGACAAATATATCTACTACAAAAAGTTGAAACTTTCTGGGACAAAAGGCAACATACCTGTGAAAATTATAGGAGTGGATCACTGAATACCAGCAAAATCTTTTTAATGGACGGCATTATGGCCATTATCGCTCCATCGCTTTCTCGTATCTCTCTATCGCTTTCTCGTCTGTTGCTACCGCTTTCTGGTCAGGTGCTCTATTGCTTTCTCGTCTGGTGCTATCGCTTTCTCATCTCTTGTTGTCGCTGTTTTTGTCTCGTGATAACGCTTTTTCGTTTTGTGTTATCGCTTTCTCGTCTCGTGTTCTCGCTTTATCGCGGCCGTGATCAAAGGCGATAAGCGGTGTCCCCTCTAGGCCGTCATGCCCTTTCTATATTCATCAGAAATATCTGTCAAAAGCAGAGGCGATTTTACGATTCCGACTGTATCAAGATCATGTGTCTATCTATCAGTATTAAATATGATGACACTAGGCGTTGGCATAAAGGTGAGCATATCCTGTCCCACCGGTGGCACCCGTCACAAACACGTGACAGGCAAGTCAACTGACCGCCTGAAAAACAAAGGAACAAAAAACATCCTGCAGATGTCAACCATACAACTTTTTGAAAGCTTTATAGAGGCCTTAAATTGTGAAACCTGGATGAAACTAATTTTGAACAAGAGTCGTTTGACACTCCCTGAGATCTTAGATAGATCAGCAAGAAGCAGAGCACATTTGGTTCCCACGAGGATGCCTACTTCTTGCCTATATGTCTTGCACCAAGATTTTACAGAGATGTTATCAGCTTGTTTTCTCAGTAAACATCAGATGACATTAGTTTTTGGATATGTTGTCCTGATCATTGAAGATAGATGGCGCAAATGCAAACAAATCCTTTGAGTGTTTAAGAATCCACATGGTATTAATTACACTTACCTTCTGTGAATATTGACAGAGCCGTTCCTTGATTGCATTATGGATTATTGTTAATGCGGGAGACACGGTTCTCTTTTTGTACAGACTTCTCTGGACTTTAGAAATCCAGGCCAAGCGCTGATAGGACTGATGCGTAGTTTCATCGATTTCCTTTCTCAGTTACATTCTGGCCAATTATGTGACATTATCAGATTTGTCACTTGTACCAAGTTCTATGATCAAACAATAATGTTGTTTTGCCAACATGTAATGTTCTTGTTATTTGAAGCCTTGTTAGTAACTACACGCAGCTCCAAACTTACATGTGTCGTTAAGTTTATTCCAATTCTGTTTCCTATTTTTCAGTTTGTGTATTCTACCAATGAAAACAGCATGCACTTACACACTCAGAAAGACATTGGCCAACAGGGTGGTGGCACTTTAATTGGTTTTGGTAGCAAGATATAGTGATGGATAAAAACGTAAGTTGTCTGCAAGCAAATACTGACGCCCGTGACCTTTTGGATAACTCAAGGGCTGGTAATCTAAGTTAATACTCTAGATGTGAGTGGTCTCCCTTTGTATACGCCGTATAAGTTGAAGAGCAAAACCATACATATTTATATCTAAAATCGAGTGGGACGAGGGGGGAACGGTTATAATATATGATTTTTTTCAAAATATACTATTCACCAAATAAAAAATGCATTTGTTAAGACATTTGAATCTTGTGTCAAATAACATTTAAGTTGCAAAATTAAAATTCACAAAAAAATAAATGTAATTATTACCCATATATATATGGCAAAGTTGTTTCTGTGTGGAGACACCAAATTCTACCCTTACCGCAACCAAAGTTTTCCTGTGTGAACTAGATGTCAGCCGTTTCCCATATGTGTAAAGGTCTTACTATATATAAGTTACCGTACAGTAACATGAGCTACAGTTTGAACATTTAGGTCAACACAGAAAACGTATTTAGATGTGTACAGAATTAACCTTAGTAAGACTGGATATTCTGTTTGACCGCTTACTAGCTCTAGTGTGTTATTAAACGCATTGTTGTGTGCATAAGATCGAGAGAGTAATCTTCACACCAAAATATAACTGGAATACTAGTACTTGTTTGACATTGTTGACTTTATTCACGACAAATACAGACCCTGTGTTTGGAAAGCTTAAGGTAGCCTCTGAACAGTGTTAAGGTGGTTGTTGTAAGTGTTTTGCACAATACTGAACATAATGGGTACATGACTCGTTATCACGCTTTCTGTGCCATATACATCACTACCCTGTTTGTAGAAACAGAATTGTAACGCTCCATCTTCAGACATGGTTGGTAGTTGATATATTATATTCAATACATACATAATACATGAGCATCTATATGCACCAAGGTGCATCGTCATTCACCTCAACGTCAATCTCACAGAGAGCATTTAACTTCCCATTTACGACATAGGCACCCCATAAGCCAGAAACAAACATCTTGCCATAAATCTGATCAGTTGCATTCTCCATTGCGGGATTCCAGTTGCTGTAGGACCTAAGGTCCGTTTGTCCAGCGCCAAGCAACATCGATGTTAGCACGATCCAAACCGATCCATACAGTTCTGTCTGTAGACATAAAAAAGTCGTGCTGTGAATTTGTGATTTAATGCCCATATTGTGTTGTACATATAAAGGAACATGCATGAAATCCATGCCATGATACCAGGTAACCATTGAATGAATTAATGCAAATCGCTCACCTTAGTAATCGTACACTCATACCACAAAATAATGTAAGATTTTGTTTTTCGCCACAGTCCGCAACATCATAACGAACAAGGGCTGCTTGGTAATTACATTTGTGACACACGTGCACCTTGTAGATGGTTGTGGTTGTTGTAAGTGTTTTGCACAATACTGAACATAATGGGTACGAGACTCGTTATCACGCTTTCTGTGCCATATATATCACTACCCTGTTTGTTGAAACAGAACTGAAACGCTCCATCTTCAGACATGGTTGGTAGTTGATATATTATATTCAATACATACATAATACATGAGCATATATATATCTTAACACCAAAGTACATAGTCATTCACCTTAACGTCAATCTCACAGAGAGCATTTAACTTCCCATAGGCACCCCATATGCCCCAAACAAACATCTTGCCATAAATCTGATCAGTTGCATTCTGCATTGTGGGATTCCAGTTGCTGTAGGACCAAACAGCATGTCCGTTTGTCCAGCGCCAAGCAACATCGATGTTAACATGTTCGAGACCGATCCATACAGTTCTGTCTGTACACATAAACAACAGTCAGCAACATCATTACGAACAAGGTCTATTTGGTAATTATATTAGTGACACACGTGCACCTTGTAGATTAACATGACGTGACATAATAAGTCAAAACATGAGCACGTGTCACGAGTGTATTGACAACCATTCTCTGTGAAAGAAAAACAACGTGCCTCAGGATTGTCCCATTGAGTCCCGTCTGTATTCTAAATATGAGCGCACAGAGCACTTATGCATAGGGAATGCTGCACTATACAACTGCATATATTATTATCATCATTACTTACAGATTAAAATTTGTAAAAATGCAGCAAAGAGGGTTTGGGTGATCCTGGCACAGTCAGGCAGGTAAGGCTCATCATCAGCTCAGGGCCCTTGCCCCATCTACATGCAGTCCTGGTAGCGAATGGGACTTCTCCCAGCGTTGTGTTGTCAAATCCACCCAGAACTTTTCGGAGAATGTGAAGATTCCCGAAAGCTGCAGCCTTCAATCTTGTCAGTCACATTAGTGTCAAAGGGGACAGAAAATTCAATGATATAAATGATTTCATAATTTCATTGGATTTATCAAAAAGAACAAGAGCAGGTTTTTGGCTTGGATACGTCTGATGCTGTAAATGGACCTATTCCAAAGAATTTTGTATTTATCATTTTCCATGATGCATTCTACATATTCAGGGTCATACGATGGGTGGACCCCTGTGTCAAAACCACAAGCATGGCGAAGACAGTAATAGAATGATCGAGCTACACCATCATGTCGTTTAATATACTGTGTTTGTGCCAAAGCTGGGCATCCACTGACAATGTGTTGTCATTACAATCATTACTTAATCTTAAACATTGACGGTTTCGAGTACGAAATGACTGGTCTTGAGCAGCAAACAGAAAGCCTTCTGTTTCACTTTTCAG